GACAACCACCCCTGCAACCACAAATAGGTGATACAAATGGGTGAGTAACACACAAACACTATAAAACACCTAGTGTTAATCGACATGTACCTAGGAAAAAATGGAAACCCCACACACAGTGTAAACAATCGCAGCAGGTATTTAATGCAAAACAAGCCACGGGGGGGGGGGGGGGGAGGGGGGGAGGGGGGAAACCTTTAGCCAGCATTTTCATATTTTTCCAGTGCGTATCGGGAGCTTTGAAATGTTGAAGGCAACGGCGGTGTCCTTGCAACATTGCACAGCTCCTGATACGCATGAAGTGTAAAAGTACCTGAGAAAAGTTTTTCAGCCCCCCTGTGGTTTTTCTTGCATAAAATCTTAAAATGTAGCCCGGGTATGTCCTGGTACTGCTGTAAAACACAACTGGTACTTACAAACATCCATTTTACTTACTACTTATAACGAGACTTGGAAATGACCGGCACTTCCATAATACTTCAATGTCTCTGAGCATAACTGCCATCTAAGTGCCAAATGTGGCACCAGCTGCTTGACCGACTATCCCTGACATCAAAATACCAAAAACTGGATCTTTGAAGAAAGACTGACGTATAGAACACAGGCTGAACAACCATATACAAGAACCTTTACAAACACAGGCTAAACAACCATACACAAGAACCTTTACAAACACAGGCTTCACAGTATCCGTTAATATCAACTTAATATAATCCATATAATAAAATATAATTCATATAATTTATAATTAAGGTATTACTATTATAATTATTACAGCCATAAGATAATGGTAAATCTCTTTAAGGTTTTCTGTGATACGTTATGGTGGAGCGCTAAACCTGTAGGGATTATACAGCACTTGTGGGGGGAGGGATGGAAGGTGGTCAGACAATTCAGGGAAGTGGAGCACAGATCCAATTCCCAAGAACAAGAGCCCCTCACCAGCGTCAAGGAACCTCCCTGGAGGGATTTCTGTGATACAAAGTCTGGGACAATGGGATGTAATGAGGTTTGATCCTAGGAATAGGATCAAAAGTGATTACACCTTTGATCCGTATGCATAAAGTTATGCAGACACGAGTAATTGACATACCTGTCATCTTCAGACCCTAATTGACGTACCTGTCTGCTGTGTACGTCACATAAAGAAGTCGTAGAGCCTAAATTGACGTATCTGTCTCTGTCCGTCACCTCCAGGACGTTGCAGACCCCGTCAAGGTGGACGTCTATTTCGAGACTCTGTGTCCAGACAGCATCGCTTTCTTCGTGGATCAGTTACAGCCGACCTGGAAGGCCGTTCCAGAGATACTGCAAGTTGAACTCACAGCGTATGGGTTTGCTAGTGTAAGTTTTCGTGTGTGTGTGTGTGTGTGTGTGTGTGTGTGTGTGTGTGTGTGTGTGTGTGTGTGTGTGTGTGTGTGTGTGTGTGTGTACTCACCTAATTGTACTCACCTAATTGTGGTTGCGGGGGTCGAGACTCAGCTCCTGGCCCCGCCTCTTTACTGACCGCTACTAGGTCCTCTCTTCCTGCTCCATGAGCTTTATCATACCTCGTCTTAAAGCTATGTATGGTTCCTGCTTCCACTACTTCACTTGCTAGACTGTTCCACTTCCTGACAACTCTATAACTGAAGAAATACTTCCTAACATCTTCATGACTCATCTGAGTCTTCAACTTCCAAGTATGACCCCTTGTTTCTGTGTCCCATCTCTGGAACATCCTGTGTGTGTGTGTGTGTGTGTGTGTGTGTGTGTCACATAAGTGTTCCTCCCATCATTTACAAGCTCGCTGTTACCTGCTTCAGCTTATGTTAAAGCCTTTTTATTATTTACATTTTTCTAACTCCTGCTACTTAATTCTAAGCAACTGATAATAATCCTTTACTAACAATTATAGAAGATAATTATATGTTAAGCATGTATTAAAAAATAATGAATTGACTAATTGTGCGTTTTATATATATATAAAATATATATATATATATTATATATATATATTTTATATATATATTTTATATATATATATATATATTTTTTTATATATATATATATATGTCGTCCCGAATATGTAAAACTGGTCAATTAGCAAGAACTCATTTAAAATTAATTAAGTCCTTCAAAAAATTTTCTCTTATACTTTTGAAAGAATATTTTTTTCATTAATGTTAATGTAAAAATTTTTTAAATTTTTTGCACCAAAAGAACTTAGAAAACTTACCTAACCTTATTATAACAAGAACAATTTATTTTAGCCTAACCCAACTAAATATATTTTAGATTAGTTTACAATAATTTAATACTAAACAAACACCAGTGAATATATTTTTTTGTTAGGTTCAGAATGATTTTGGCGAAATTATTGCATACAAAAATTTTTTCACTTGTCCTTTGGCAAGATGAGCGTTGCTATTTAAGCCAAGATCGCAAGTTCTGCCTATTCGGCACGTGGACGTGTCAGCGGATGGGTCTATGAAAGATGAGGTGAATCATAGAATTGATGAGGGAAAAAGAGTGGGGTGTGCACTTTGGGTCTGTGGAGACAAAGAACTTTGTCCTTGGAGGCAAAGGGGGAATGTATGAGAGTATAGTTTTACCAACGCTCTTATATGGGTGTGAAGCGTGGGTGATGAATGTTGCAGCGAGGAGAAGGCTGGAGGCAGTGGAGATGTCATGTCTGAGGGCAATGTGTGGGTGATATAATGCAGAGAATTAGTATTTGGAAATAGGGGGAGGGCGGATTACCAAAACTGATGTCCAGAGGGCTGAGGAAGGGTTTTTGAGGTGGTTCGGACTGTAAGAGAATGGAGCGAAACAGAATGACTTCAAGAGTGTATCAGTCTGAGTGAAGGAAGGGGGGGTAGGGGTCGGCCTAAAGGGAAAGGGTGGAGGAGGGGGTAAAGGAGGTTTGTGTGCGGGGTTGGACTTCCAGCAGGCAGCGTTTAGCGGTTTGATAGGGGATGGGACAAATGGGGTTTTTTACTTGACGTGTGTTGGGTGTGACAAAGTAACATTTTGAAGGTTCAGGGAAACGGCAGGCCGGACTTGAGTTTGGAGATGGGAAGACAGTGCCTGCACTTGAAGGAGGGGTGTTAAGGGTTTCAGGGTTAAAAACTGTAGTAAAGCACCTTCGGCAAGACAGGTGGAGGAGAGGTTTAAGTTTTCTTTTTTGGGCCACCCTGCCTTGGTGGGAACGGCCGGTGATAAAAAAAAAAATAATATAATTAATATATATTTATTATATATATATATATAATATAATATATATAAATATTATTATATATTATAAACATACCTAAATTCACTTTAAATTTGACATTATTTAAAAACTCTTTGAGAACTTCTCTTGGAAGATAAAAAAAAAATGGAAGTGTTTCTTTGCTGCTATTCACGGAAGATGTTAACCCGTAGGGTCCAAAAACCTCTTGGGATGGCAGGATACTCAGGACTGAATCCACGGGATGGAAGGTTGTACATTTCCTTGGACAAGTCCTTCGCCCATCAAGGGTACCTTCAGCAGCATCAAGGCGCCCCCAGCAGCATCAAGGCCCTCCAGCAGCATCAGGGCCCTTCAGCACATCAGGGCCCCCCCCAGGGCAAGGCAAGGGCACCTTTCAGCAGCATCAGGGCACCTTCAGCAGCATCAGGGCAAACCCTTTAGCCAGCATCAAGTGCACCTCAGCAGCATCAGGGCACCTTCAGAGCCCTCAAAGGGACTCTCCAGCAGCATCAGGCACCTCCAGCGCACAGGGCAAACCCTTTAGCAGCACAAGGCACCTTCAGCAGGGATCGGGCACTTCACAGCACAGGGCACCCTTTAGCAGCATCAAGGCACCCCGCGCATCAGGGCACCTCCAGCAGCAAAACAGGAAAAATTGCAGCATCAAGGGACCTCCAGCAGGGGGTCAAAGGGACCTCCAGCAGCATCAAGGCACCTCCAGCAGCATCAGGGCACCTTCAGCAGCATCAAGGCACCTCCAGCATCAAGGCACCTCCAGCATCAAGGCACCTCCAGCAACATCAAGGCACCTCAGCAGCATCAAGGCACTTCAGCAGATCAAGGCACCTCCGCGCATCAGGGAACATTCAGCATCAAGGCAAAACCCTTTAGCAGCATCAGGGCACCTTCAGCACATCAAGGCACTTCAAAGCTTCAAGGCACCTTCACCACTCAAAGGGACCTTCAGGAGCATCAGGCACCTTTCACCAGCATCAAGGCACCTTCACCAGCATCAAGGCACCTTCAGCAGCAACAAGGCACCTTCACCAGCATCAAGGCACCTTCAGCAGCATCAAGGCACCTTCACCAGCATCAAGGCACCTTCAGCATCAAGGCACCTTCACTAGCATCAAGGCACCTTCACCAGCATCAAGGCACCTTCAGCAGCATCAAGGCACCTTCACCAGCATCAAGGCACCTTCACCAGCATCAAGGCACCTTCACCAGCATCAAGGCACCTTCACCAGCATCAAGGCACCTTCACCAGCATCAAGGCACCTTCCCTGGAAAGGAAAATAGTTTTTCACTACGTTTTCACGAATATATTTTTTCGTATCTTAGTTTTCGTTAACTTTTCTTTCCATCTCGTTTTTAAAACACCATTTTGTAGTTTATTCATTACTTTCTTTTATCATTATTGGGATTTGTTGTTGACCGAGTGATGATGGATGTGTTTTTTTTCTTTAAGTCACTCTGTGCCGGTAAGTAAAGATGGATTGTGACAGGATAGTTATCCTGTCGCACTCCATCACACAGGATAGTTATCCTGTCACACTCCATCACACAGGATAGTTATCCTGTCACACTACATCACACAGGATAGTTATCCTGTCGCACTCCATCACACAGGATAGTTATCCTGTCACACTACATCACACAGGATAGTTATCCTGTCACACTACATCACACAGGATAGTTATCCTGTCGCACTCCATCACACAGGATAGTTATCCTGTCACACTACATCACACAGGATAGTTATCCTGTCACACTCCATCACACAGGATAGTTATCCTGTCACACTCCATCACACAGGATAGTTATCCTGTCACACTCCATCACACAGGATAGTTATCCTGTCACACTACATCACACAGGATAGTTATCCTGTCACACTACATCACACATGGTAGTTATCCTGTCACACTCCATCACACAGGATAGTTATCCTGTCACACTACATTCACACAGGATAGTTATCCTGTCACACTACATCACACAGGATAGTTATCCTGTCACACTACATCACAGGATAGTTATCCTGTCACACTACATCACACAGGATAGTTATCCTGTCACACTCCATCACACAGGATAGTTATCCTGTCACACTCCATCACACAGGATAGTTATCCTGTCACACTCCATCACACAGGATAGTATCCTGTCACACTACATCACACAGGATAGTTATCCTGTCACACTACATCACACAGGATAGTTATCCTGTCACACTACATCACACAGGATAGTTATCCTGTCACACTACTCACACAGGATAGTTTTTCCTGTCGCACTCATACACGGAAGTTTCCTGTCGCACTCCATCACAGGATAGTTATCTGTCACACTCCATCACACAGGATAGTTATCCTGTCACACTACATCACACAGGATAGTTATCCTGTCACACTCCATCACACAGGATAGTTATCCTGTCAACACTACATCACACAGGATAGTTATCCTGTCACACTACATCACACGGATAGTTATCCTGTCACACTACATCACACAGGATAGTTATCCTGTCACACTACATCACACAGGATAGTTATCCTGTCACACTACATCACACAGGATAGTTATCCTGTCACACTACATCACACAGGATAGTTATCCTGTCACACTTCATCACACAGGATATTATCCTGTCACACTACATCACACAGGATAGTTATCCTGTCACACTACATCACACAGGATAGTTATCCTGTCACACTACATCACACAGGATAGTTATCCTGTCACACTACATCACACAGGATAGTATTCCTGTCACACTACATCACACAGGATAGTTATCCTGTCACACTACATCACACAGGATAGTTATCCTGTCACACTCCATCACACAGGATAGTTATCCTGTCACACTACATCACACAGGATAGTTATCCTGTCACACTACATCACACAGGATAGTTTCCTGTCACACTCCATCACACAGGATAGTTATCCTGTCACACTACATCACACAGGATAGTTATCCTGTCACACTACATCACACAGGATAGTTATCCTGTCACACTCCATCACACAGGATAGTTATCCTGTCACACTACATCACACAGGATAGTTATCCTGTCACACTACATCACACAGGATAGTTATCCTGTCGCACTCCATCACACAGGATAGTTATCCTGTCACACTACATCACACAGGATAGTTATCCTGTCACACTCCATCACACAGGATAGTTATTCTGTTACACTACATCACACAGGATAGCTATCCTATCACACTCCATCACACAGGATAGTTATCCTGTCACACTCCATCACACAGGATAGTTATCCTGTCACACTACATCACACAGGATAGTTATCCTGTCACACTCCATCATACAGGATAGTTATCCTGTCGCACTCCATCACACAGGATAGTTATCCTGTCACACTACATCACACAGGATAGTTATCCTGTCACACTCCATCACACAGGATAGTTATCCTGTCACACTACATCACACAGGATAGTTATCCTGTCACACTCCATCACACAGGATAGTTATCCTGTCACACAGGATAATTTCCCTAGCATACTTCAGCACAGAGGATTGGGTTATCTTTGTCATGACTACTCCTGCAGGTAACACCTTCAGAAGACGGCTATACCTTCGAGTGCCAACACGGGGCCAACGAGTGCCACGGGAACCTCGTTGTCTCTTGCGCTAAGAGCATCATCGTTGAACATAACACCTTCGTTGATTTCACTATCTGTCTCATGACCGGCGAATCACCTCCCGACGAAGGAGAGAGGGTAAGTCATAATGAAAACAAAAGAATGAACACTGCAGTAGGCCTACTGGCCCATGTAAGGCAGATCCTTAAACCCACCCATGTATTTAAGCTTTGATATATGTATCTACTCGTGTGCAAATCCCATTCAAATCCAACCCCTCTCATGTATTTATCCAACCTAAATTTGAACCTACTCAAGGTTTTAGCTTCAATAACCCTACTAGGCAGACTATTCCACTCGTTAACTATCCCATTTCCAAACCAGTACTTTCCTGTATCCATGGTCTTAGCTTCTATTGACCTCTATAACACGACTACAAACAAATCATGGAACGGGTGGGATTTGAACCCATGTTGAGTAATGAAAGTCACAGGCCGGTGCGTTAACACACTGGCCTCTGAGTTTCAGGACTCGCTTACCATAATTTCAAACCCCACCCGATCCATGATATGTATATTTATTGTTAGTGTGCGAGAGGTTTTACAGTGTAAAATGATAATCGGAAGGGAAAGTATACAAGGACAAAATGAGAAGTGTTAAACAAGGGATAAAATGAAGAGAAAATGAGAGAATGAATCAATGTCAGCATATTAGGCAAATAAACACAAGAACAACGTTTCGCCCACCAGGAGCTGGTTAATACACCTGTCAAAGGGTTAACATCCCATGTTGCTGACTCTTTAGAACTCAGTAATGTTATAGTATTTACTCCAGATTACAATTGTTGGTCCGTCACCAGTCTATCTGGTGACCACTGACACCGTGCACCTTGTGGTCACCGGGTTCACTTACCTTCCTCCTGCCATCACTCAGATATTACCTCAGAAATTTACATACTTTTATAGTCGACGTGGGGCGCCTTATACATAGACAATATGTGGCTTATGGTATTACTGAGAAGACGTTTTGTCCACCAGGGACTTTATCAATTCAATCAAATGTAGTGAACCGTATGTTTCATTAACACACTCTTCGTGTATTCTACAATTGGTATAAGCTTCTTCATTAGTTATTATAATCAAGGGGGAAGCACTAAACCCATAAGCTTCTTCAAACAATTCACTATATGCAAAAGTAATACGATGGTAGGGGAATGTGAATATTAAAGGTGGTGTAACCTGTAGCTCGATCCCTAGTGCACTCAGATCACACACTGAGGTCCGAGGGTCGATCCCCGGACGTGTTTCCAATGTTCACCCAACAGTAAAGTGGGTACCTGGGTGTTAGTCGATTGGTGTGGGTCGCATCCTAAGTCAAAATTGACCTAATTTACCCGATATGCTCTATATAACAAGTGGCTTTCTATACAGAAATATAACACTGATGTCAGTTAGGCTTGTACACCTTGTATATGTACTGTAGAAATAATGATTATTATTATAAGTATACCATGCTGGGACTGTGAGAAAGTCTACATAGGAGAAACTGCCATAGATGGAGACATCCAATAACACACACATGGATGCTGTATAAACAACCTCAATGCATGCATGATGTGTAGGAACAACAACTGGCCATCTAATGAAGTAGAGACAAGCAGGACTTATATACAGAGAAAGTAAACAAATAAGGAACAGGAAGAGTTTTGAATGCACGGCAAGCGAGTGGTAAAAGTCACAGGCCAGTGCGTTAACCAGTCGGCCAGGTGGCTCTAATTAGAGTCAACTAGGTACATATCTACACACCAGAGAATTATAATGGGGAGCGCTAAACCTGTAGGGAGTATGCAACACCTATGGGGGAAAGGAAGGGAGCGGAACGCATTCAGGCTTAATTCAGTGAAATCTAACACAGATCCAATTCCCTAGATCAAGAGCCTCCTCACCAGCATCAAGGAACCTCCTTAGAGGGGTCAGGAGCTGTAATACTGTAAGAGCTTTAGCCAAGCTGACTCTGGTCCACCAAGACGCTGTCGTCAGGTGGAAATATTGTACTCCACCAGTCTTATTTACTTTACACCCGTCTTCTTTATTTACCAAGTCTTCCCTCACTGTATTGGATAGAAGAGGCCTCTGGTGAGTGATATCTACAAGTTGCAAAACGATGCACATGTGTTTTATTTATACAGTCATACATGTGCAAGACAACCATAGTGAAAAAATAATGAAATTCCGAGAGGTTTCGTGATTTTTCACATTGTCAAGAATGATGTGGGAAATCACGAAAGCGCTTGGAATTTCATTATTTTTTCGCTGTGGTTATTTTGCATACTGTGATTAACATGTTTACTGTGATCTTATGTATGAGTTGTTTGTTTAGAGTCTAAAACCCTGGCTTCAAGCAGTGAACTAGTTCTTTCTGTATCTTCTCGTTCACTTAGATTATTTGCTCCTCTTAGATTAAATCTCTCTTTGTCTCTCTTCTCTGTCTCTTTGATCTGAAGGTAAAAGGTGAGAGGTGAAGTTCAAATCCACTTGACGAGGCTTGGTCACAGACCGGGCCGCGGGGCTTTGACCCCTAAAATCCTTTCCAGGTATATGAATTTTGTCTTAAATCTTCTCGTCGTATTTATGTCCTATTTTTGTCCTCTATTTCTGCACCTTTAAGTAACTTTCCACACCTCTTTACCACCTGTGTCCTCCATCCCTGCCCTCCACGATTCCTTCTATCCACCAGTCTTGCCTTGCACCAGTACCCTCCACAAGTGTCTCCCACCAACAATATGTCCGTCTCACACAGCTATATATATATATATATATATTATATATATATATATATATATATATATATATATATATATAAATATAATCAATACAAGAACATAAACAGAAGACTGTATAAGAGGAGGTAATCAGTCCCCACGCCTCGCAGGGACTGATTACCTCCTCTTGTTGCGAGGCTCAAAGACTGATTACCTTTTCTCTAGACTTCCGTTTTTGTTCCTGTATTGTACTGATAAGGTCACAGGTTGGTGAAGCATCTGCGAAATAAAGAGCATACTGACCCAGTATATCAATAGTTTTTATTTACCGACAAATGTTAATAACATGCCTTTTTTTTCCATTTTATTTGAAACATTAGTTCACCAGGAAATTTAACAATGTGTCCCTGGTAGACAAAAAACCTTAAAATTGTTATATATCCCCTGTGTTTTTTAACTACCGTCCCGTGCTAGGCAGGTCCTTCTCAAATCCATATTTATCCAATTTAAATGGGGGTTGATAGCCGTTACAAAAAAAACGCGATTCTAAAAGCTTAGAGATCTCCAGTGAATACTAGAAAGGACGGCCCTTCTAGCATCCAGCCTGTTACTGGGTTTTCGTAACAAATAGTCAGTATCCTTGTCCAATTATCCATTAGAATTCAGTATGATTCAATAGCGCTTCAGGATTACAACTGGTAGGTTACTAACTAGAGAAATTAAAATTTAATAAATTTATTAAGTTGTCTAGGTGTATATCAAATTGAATTAATCACATTAATCAACAAAATAATAATAATCACTTCTCTTGTAACAGTATTATTGTGCTGAAAGCACATATAACATTTATAAGTCTTAAGTACCGTCTGGTAAATTAACATTTAATAAGATATTACAAATATGTACAAATAAGTTAGTGTGTATGTGTGTAAGTGCTCTAAGTAGTTCGCTATGTCTCACGACTCGACTAGACTTAAACAAGTGACTGACAAAGTCCTCAAATTAACTAACTTCTTGACCAACTGGATATCAGAACAGTCTGCTTGGACAATAAAAAGAATGCTAAGCCCAATAGCAATATAACAAGCAACTGCGACACAGAATCAGGAACAAGGAGATAATATAACAACACTAAGTAGGGACCATCAGCAGATCCTCCACAAGTCACAAAACTCCCATACTACTGAATCTAAGTTCAGCATAAGAAAATCCCCGACTGTGACAGTACACAGATACCAGTACAAGTTAGGTCAGAAGCTACAGCTCAGGACCTGAGTTGTTCAGAGTGTCTTTGAGACACACAACCTCAGTACAACGTCGAAAATCACCAAGTCTATCCAATGTTCTGTGAACAGAGTCCCACAGAACCTACAAGAAAGCTATAGACGATCTTCCAACAAGAGCCAATAAGGGAGATTTATGCACTTGTCAGGAATACGTCCAACCACCAAGAGAGTCTAGACCGGACTGAATACTTCAGGCGAGGTGTGATCACCCCCCCCCCTCGATCACGTGATAGCTCTGTGGACAGCTGCAGCTCAGCAACAGAAGCCGGCAGAGTAACGAGCAAAGAGCGATAATTACAGTAGTTAGGCAATCATGACTTGAACTATGAGCACATAATATATGTGTTACATCCTACCTAACAACATAACTAAGTCTAATAATAATATAAAGCAATATATTTAAGATTTAGCTATTATCGCAAATATAGGCAATATAAAATTATATGAAAAGGTAATATACATGTAATATATATATATATATATATATATATATATATATATATATATACATAAAATATACATTGCAACCCATTCAGGGGTTGCAACAATAGCTCATGGCTAATGTGGTTAAATGTCGTAAAGGTTGAACGTAATTAATTCTCACCAGACAGCCTAAAAGAGGACTGCGAGGCATTCTGTTAAACTGTATTTTCCTAGTGTGCTAAACACAAATGTTGACTGTAACTGTAATTAAGAGTGGTAAATCTAGTCTAGATCGTCCAAACTGATTGTTGCTGACTGGCGAATGTGTATGTGATGCAAAGACTTGAAATATGCTAATTGACTTGTTCTTCTGGTTGACAGTGTGCCCAGGAGGTGGGAGTGGAGTGGGACCCCATCAACCAGTGTGCCGAGTCAGTGGATGGAGAGCTGTTGCTGTATGAACAAGGTCAGAAGCAAGAGGCCCTCGACCCCGTCCCTGACTGGATGCCCTGGATTATAATCAATGACGTAAGTATTTTTTACATCGCTCATTTTACAGAGTAAGAGGCGACGGTAAGGACACGTAACAATGTAAACATGGCTCGGTTAAGTTCTCTGTGAGACACAGAAAACAGATACGTATAGTCAAAACTTAAGAGGTGGGACTTATACATTGAAGCGGATTATTACCGTCACTTCTCTTAAAAACTCGTCTAATGCAAATGTTCGTAAATAAGTTTAAAAAAAAGTCTTTTGAAAATTGTATAGCACCTACTAGAAAGGCCTTTCCAGGGGTTATTACAATTCTAACTGTACTTTCTGAATCGCATACGATAAAATATACGGCAGAGTTTATAAGAGGTTGCTGTATAATCCCGGAGAAGCGGGGCATCCGTAAAGGTCACACAGCGTCTGGGGAATGGCAGGTAATCAGGTTTGATTACAAAAAAAGAGAGATGCTCTAATTTCTTTGACTGAACGACCTTCACCTTGAAGTGAGGGAAGAAAGGAGAGAGGGAGGGAAGGAGGGAAAGAGGAAAGGAAGGGGAGAAGGAAGGGAAGAAGGAAGGGAAGATGGGACGAAAGAAGGGAGTATAAACGCGACACAACGTGAAATATAAACCCCAACTGGGTATACAACGGGTTGGGCAAATATTTTTATCAGTGGGTTTGGGTTTAACAAGAACCTACCTAGTATGGGCCAGTAGGCCTGCTGCAGCGTTCCTCCTTTTTATGTTAATAATTTAGATGAAAACCCCTGAAGTTCCTCGACTTACGGTGCACAGATCAAGCGAAGGCGTCACTCTGGTGGTGCATACTCGAAGGTAGACTTCAAAGGGACTCATTCAGGTGCTTGAAAATGCATTTCAGATTTACCACGTTACACTTCGTGTGTTCCTATGGAGGGAGGCTTAGACTATCTATTTTTTTCTTCCCGTAGTTGCATAACCTCAATTGATGATAAATCGTCAGTAGTATCTCCTCAGGTTCCATCTTCGGGACTTTGCCGAATTTTCGGGGTTGAATTCCAGCAGCCACTTGCTGGATTATCCTTTCAGTCTGCTAATATTTTCTCGCAGTTTATTGCCATTATTTGTATGCTGCTTGTCAGAACTGTGTCCCCTCTGTTAAGTCACGTAAGACAAGGCATTTCAAAAGAAAATATGGGAAAACATTTATTTTACCCCACAAAAGGGGCGAAACGTCAGGGTGAAACATCGTTAAATATACTGTAGGTTCCCCCTGCCTAAAATGGTTGAATTACTATTTGTTGACTGACGCCACTGTCTACCAATGTATAATATATATGTAATGTGTGTGTGTGTGTGTGTGTGTGTGTGTGTGTGTGTGTGTGTGTGTGTGTGTGTGTGTGTGTGTGTGTGTGTGTGTGTGTGTGTGTGTGTACCAGTCCCACTAATACTCCTTTCTTTCGCAGGAATTCACTGAGGATAATTTAGTCGAGGCTCAGGTCGACCTGCTGAATCTCGTGTGTCGTGTGTACGAGGGGTCGCCGCCCCCGGGCTGCGCCTAAGGCTTCAGGAGACCCCTTCAACCCCTTGGCTGCCCCTTCCCACACATCCCTCCATGATAGCTGCCAATAGTGCCATTATACAGAATATATACACAAACTGACTACGCAAAAATACAATTTTGTGACCGGATCAATTTGGACGTCGGATCACCTCACTAGTCCTATTATTATTACTATTATTATTATTATTACTATTATTATTATTATTACTATTATTATTATTACTATTATTATTATCATCTCATCATTATTACCACCAGACCTTAACTCGTAACACTAGAATAACAAGATTGACTACAAACAATGCTACTACCTGGAGAGTCTTCCGGGGGTCAACGCCCCCGCGGCCCAGTCCTCCTGGTCGATCAGGGCCTGATCAACCAGGCTGTTACTGCTGGCTGCACGTAGTCCAAAGTACGAACCACAGCTCGGCTGATAGGGTACTGACTTTAGTTATCTGTTCAGCTTCCTCTGGAAGGCAGCCAGGGGTCTTGAAGGCAGCCAGGGGTCTTGAAGGCAGCCAGGGTTCTTGAAGGCAGCCAGGGGTCTTGAAGGCAGCCAGGGGTCTTGAAGGCAGCCAGGGGTCTTGAAGGCAGCCAGGGGTCTTGAAGGCAGCCGGGGGTCTTGAAGGCAGCCGGGGGTCTTGAAGGCAGCCAGGGGTCTTGAAGGCAGCCAGGGGTCTTGAAGGCAGCCAGGGGTCTTGAAGGCAGCCAGGGGTCTTGAAGGCAGCCAGGGGTCTTGAAGGCAGCCAGGGGTCTTGAAGGCAGCCAGGGGTCTGGAAGGCAGCCAGGGGTCTGGAAGGCAGCCAGGGGTCTATGCACCACAAAAACACTCTATTGTTACAAAATTATTGACAAGACTTATTTGGTCCTTACTGATTTTCTAGCAATAAAAAAAATGGATAATTTTTTTGGTATTCTTAAAAAATGGCGTAAGAGAATTTGTTTACCAGTTAACTAATATATTTTTGGCAATTTAAAACGTTTGATGAAATTTCCTCTTCGAGAGTTAACTCTGGTGCAGATTTCCCCAGAGATTTCAGCCAGCCTTCAGGGGGGACTGAAAACTCACGAATAAATTTTTACTCCCTGTTTTCACTGCTGTATGTGGAGCCACGACACATTTGAAGAGAATGTGTGTGGAGGCACGACCACATGCGTAGAGGAACGACCACATGCGTGGAGGCACCTCGTGCGTGGAGGAACGACCACATGCGTGGAGGAACGACCACATGCATGGAGGATTATAATCAAGGGGGAAGAGCTAAACCCGTAAGATTATACAGCACCTAAGGGGTGGAAGGTATTCAGGCTTAATTCAGGGAACTGGAGCACAGATCCAATTCCCTGGATCAAGAGCCCTCACCAGCGTCAAGGAGCCTTCCTTGAGGGGATGTGTGGAGGAACGACCACATGGTTGTGACCAACACTGGTCTTCCAACCCTGGCCTTGTACCATGCTTCCTTCTATTGTATTCTAGGTAGAAGTGGCACAGAGTAAAGTTAGCTTCCTAACAATCAAACTTGTACATCTAGCTTCTAGTACTGCTTTCTGGCGTATCTGACAGCCAAACGCTTTCTGACAGCCAACACATATGCAATCTGTCCTCTGCACAGCTTGTCTGATTTCACTCGGCTCCTCTCAGAATTGTAATATTTTCACAAGGCAGCGTTTTTTCCTTTATAAACCAGTGAGCAATCCTGCAGTTTGTCCAGGTAGTATTTCTTGGAATCCACCAATTTTTCCTCTTTTTAATATCCGAACATTTGAGGCCAGGAACACACTGACTCGAGTAATATATAGTTTGCTTATATAGCTCACCGACTTGTGTATCACTTAGGTCAGAAACAGTACAGTTTCCAGCAAGGGGCCTTGTGGACCCCCCCATATAGTTTTCACGGTGTGTGTGTGTGTGTGTGTGTGTGTGTGTGTGTGTGTGTGTGTGTACTCACCTATTTGTGGTTGCAGGGGTCGAGTCTTAGCTCCTGGCCCCGCCTCTTCACCGGTTGCTACTGGGCCCTCTCTCTCCCCGCTCCATGAGCTTTATCAAACCTCGTCTTAAAACTGTGTATGGTTCCTGCCTCCACTACGTCATTTTCTAGGCTATTCCACTGCCTAACAACTCTATGACTGAAGAAATACTTCCTACTATCTCTCTGACTCATTTGTGTCTTTAACTTCCAATTGTGGCCTCTTGTTTCTGTGTCCCCTCCCTGGAACATCCTGTCTTTGTCCACCTTGTCTATTCCACGCAGTATTTTATATGTCGTTATCATGTCTCCCCTGACCCTCCTGTCCTCCAGTGTCGTCAGTCCGATTTCCCTTAATCTTTCTTCATAGGACATTCCCCTTAGCTCTGGAACTAACCTTGTCGCAAACCTTTGTACTTTCTCTAGTTTCTTGACGTGTGTGTGTGTGTGTGTGTGTGTGTGTGTGTGTGTGTGTGTGTGTGTGTGTGTGTGTGTGTGTGTGTGTGTGTCTTACGCTGGCCGGTCTTCCAAACGCTAATTTTAAACATGAAAGAGATCGCTTTTGGTAAACATGATGATGATGGCTGAGAAACACTGCTGGTAAGATTTCCTCCATCTTACCAGACCCATGGTGACAACTGCCTCCACCGCCTCCTGTACTTCCCCGGCCTCCAGATCATGGAGGCCACATTCCCTGTTCTCCAGGTTTGCAAATTTCATTAAGAAAACCACGTAGCATATGCAGAAAACTTTACAAACTTGTACCTTGATGACAGAACCAGAATATTAATGAAAAAGATTAGACGACAGGGAAGAAATTTTGTCCACAATATGTCGTTCATACGACTAATTGTTTAACTGTTTGTTACCTAATCATTTATCGTATTCACACACACACGGGGCCAGGAGCTAGGACTCGACCCCTGCAACCACAAATAGGTGAGTACACACACACACAGTTGCTATACAGTCACATCAGACTGAAGATGACAGTAAATGATTAGGTAATAATACTATGAAGGAAGGAGGAGAGCTCACAAGTAATGTCGAGGACAAAATATTTAAGGAGGTAATTCTCGGGTGAAATACACACATTACCAGAGAGTGAAGGGGAGAGAGAGAGAGAGAGAGAGAGAGAGAGAGAGAGAGAGAGAGAGAGAGAGAAAGGGAGAAACAGGTAGGATTAGATTACAGGTTAGTGTCACTGACTCCGTAAGTTTACGGAGAAGATAGTCAGGAGTCAAGCGGTGGAGCACCTGGGTAGAAAATATTTTTTTTTTAAACCACCAACACGATTTTTAAGATGGTATATCCTGTCTCACAAACATCCCGGATCAAAGTTACCAATGATCCAATCAACAGACGGAAAATAACAAAACGACCGAAGAGTTTGAGGAGACGGTCATCAAAAACATATTTCTCACCTACCCAACACATTCCCACATAGTATGTTCCTGGTGTTGGATTGTGTACCTGGAGAGAAAGTTGGAGACAGTAACTCATGTGTGTGTGTGTGTGTGTGTGTGTGTGTTGTGTGTGTGTGTGTGGTGTGTGTGTGTGTGTGTATGCTAGAGCTTGGAAGTCTCTGCCCCTCCAGGGAGGTTCCTTGACGATGCTGAGGGGCTCTTGATCCAGGAAATTGAATCTGTGCTCCAGTTCCCTGAATTAAGCCTGAATGCCTGCCATCCCTCCCCACAAGCGCTGTATAATCCTACGGGCTCAGCGCTTCCCCTTGATTATAATAATCAGAAGTCTCTGTATAAGATATATTCACACCTGAAGACACCATCGGGTTATTGAACGATGTATATATATACACACCAAAGACATTTAGATCACAGTAAACAGGTGATATCACAATATTCAAAAACACTGAAAAAATAGCGAAATTCCAATCGCTTTCGTGAATTCTCACATTATCAACTAATATATATATATATATATATATATATATATATATATATATATATATATATATATATATATATATATATATATATATATATATATATATATATATATATATATATATATGCACTAAATGCACTAGAAGACAAAAAGAATGCAGATGTAATATATACAGACTTCGCAAAAGCCTTCGACAAGTGTGACCATGGCGTAATAGCGCACAAAATGCGTGCTAAAGGAATAACAGGAAAAGTTGGTCGATGGATCTATAATTTCCTCACTAACAGAACACAGAGAGTAGTCGTCAACAGAGTAAAGTCCGAGGCAGCTACGGTGAAAAGCTCTGTTCCACAAGGCACAGTACTCGCTCCCATCTTGTTCCTCATCCTCATATCCGACATAGACAAGGATGTCAGCCACAGCACCGTGTCTTCCTTTGCAGATGACACCCGAATCTGCATGACAGTGTCTTCCATTGCAGACACTGCAAGGCTCCAGGCGGACATCAACCAAATCTTTCAGTGGGCTGCAGAAAACAATATGAAGTTCGACGATGAGAAATTTCAATTACTCAGATATGGTAAACATGAGGAAATTAAATCTTCATCAGAGTACAAAACAAATTCTGGCCACAAAATAGAGCGAAACACCAACGTCAAAGACCTGGGAGTGATCATGTCGGAGGATCTCACCTTCAAGGACCAAAACATTGTATCAATCGCATCTGCTAGAAAAATGACAGGATGGATAATGAGAACCTTCAAAACTAGGGAGGCCAAGCCCATGATGACTCTTCAGGTCACTTGTTCTATCTAGGCTGGAATATTGCTGCACACTAACAGCACCTGCCTTGAAGGCAGGTGAAATTGCTGACCTAGAAAATGTACAGTGAACCTTCACGGCGCGCATAACGGAGATAAAACACCTCAATTACTGGGAGCGCTTGAGGTCCCTAAACCTGTATTCCCTGGAACGCAGGCGGGAGAGATACATGATTATATACACCTGGAAAATCCTAGAGGGACTATTACCGAACTTGCACACGAAAATCACTCACTACGAAAGCAAAAGACTTGGCAGACGATGCACCATCCCCCCAATGAAAAGCAGGGGTGTCACTAGCACGTTAAGAGACCATACAATAAGTGTCAGGGGCCCGAGACTGTTCAACTGCCTCCCAGCATACATAAGGGGGATTACCAACAGACCCCTGGCAGTCTTCAAGCTGGCACTGGACAAGCACCTAAAGTCGGTTCCTGACCAGCCGGGCTGTGGCTCGTACGTTGGTTTGCGTGGAGCCAGCATCAACAGCCTGGTTGATCAGGCTCTGATCCACCAGGAGGCCTGGTCACAGACCGGGCCGCGGGGGCGTTGACCCCCGGAACTCTCTCCAGGTAAACTCCAGGTATATATTAGTCCTACGATGACTATCAAAATCAACAAGACTGACATTACCATCTACGTTGTTTGGAATTTATATGTTGCTTAATTAGTAGCTGTCAGATCAGGTTCTTGAAAACAACTAGAACAGTAATACGGAATATTGCAATACGCATTTACCAAATATTAAAAGAGAATGTGCGAAGGCTATTTCATAACATTGGTTGCTGTCCCACTAAGACTGTATCCCACTAAGACTGTATCCCACTAAGACTGTATCCCACTAAGACTGTATCCCACTAAAACTGTATCCCACTAAGACTGTATCCCACTAAGACTGTATCCCACTAAAACTGTATCCCACTAAGACTGTATCCCACTAAGACTGTATCCCACTAAGACTGTACCCCACTAAGACTGTATCCCACTAAGACTGTATCCCACTAAGCCTGTATCCCACTAAGACTGTATCCCACTAAGACTGTATCCCACTAAGACTGTATCCCACTAAGCCTGTACCCCACTAAGACTGTACCCCACTAAGACTGTACCCCACTAAGACTGTATCCCACTAAGACTGTATCCCACTAAGACTGTATCCCACTAAGACTGTACCCCACTAAGACTGTACCCCACTAAGACTGTATCCCACTAAGACTGTATCCCACTAAGACTGTATCCCACTAAGCCTGTATCCCACTAAGCCTGTACCCCACTAAGACTGTACCCCACTAAGACTGTACCCCACTAAGACTGTATCCCACTAAGACTGTATCCCACTAAGACTATCCCACTAAGACTGTATCCCACTAAGCCTGTACCCCACTAAGACTGTAACCCACTAAGACTGTACCCCACTAAGACTGTATCCCACTAAGACTGTACCCCACTAAGACTATCCCACTAAGACTGTATCCCACTAAGACTGTATCCCACTAAGACTGTATCCCACTAAGACTGTATCCCACTAAGACTGTATCCCACTAAGACTGTACCCCACTAAGACTGTACCCCACTAAGACTGTATCCCACTAAGACTGTTTCCCACTAAGACTGTATCCCACTAAGACTGTACCCCACTAAGACTGTATCCCACTAAGACTGTACCCCACTAAGACTGTACCCCACTAAGACTGTATCCCACTAAGACTGTATCCCACTAAGACTGTATCCCACTAAGACTGTATCCCACTAAGACTGTATCCCACTAAGACTGTACCCCACTAAGACTGTATCCCACTAAGAGTGTATCCCACTAAGAGTGTACCCCAATAAGACTGTACCCCACTAAGACTAAGACTGTATCCCACTAAGACTGTACCCCACTAAGACTGTATCCCACTAAGACTGTACCCCACTAAGACTGTATCCACAACTTCAAGACTGTACCCCACTAAGACTGTATCCCACTAAGACTGTATCCCACTAAGACTGTATCCCACTAAGACTGTACCCCACTAAGACTGTATCCCACTAAGACTGTACCCCACTAAGACTGTATCCCACTAAGACTGTACCCCACTAAGACTGTACCCCACTAAGACTGTACCCCACTAAGACTGTACCCCACTAAGACTGTACCCCACTAAGACTGTATCCCACTAAGACTGTATCCCACTAAGACTGTACCCCACTAAGACTGTATCCCACTAAGACTGTATCCCACTAAGACTGTACCCCACTAAGACTGTACCCCACTAAGACTGTACCCCACTAAGACTGTACCCCACTAAGACTGTACCCCACTAAGACTGTACCCCACTAAGACTGTACCCCACTAAGACTGTATCCCACTAAGACTGTATCCCACTAAGACTAAGACTGTACCCCACTAAGACTGTATCCCACTAAGACTGTACCCCACTAAGACTGTACCCCACTAAGACTAAGACTGTACCCCACTAAGACTGTACCCCACTAAGACTGTACCCCACTAAGACTGTACCCCACTAAGACTGTATCCCACTAAGACTGTATCCCACTAAGACTGTATCCCACTAAGACTAAGACTGTACCCCACTAAGACTAAGACTGTACCCCACTAAGACTGTACCCCACTAAGACTGTACCCCACTAAGACTGTATCCCACTAAGACTGTAACCCACTAAGACTAAGACTGTACCCCACTAAGACTGTACCCCACTAAGACTGTACCCCACTAAGACTGTACCCCACTAAGACTGTATCCCACTAAGACTGTACCCACAGTGCCCACTAAGACTGTACCCCACTAAGACTGTACCCCACTAAGACTGTACCCCACTAAGACTGTACCCCACTAAGACTGTACCCCACTAAGACTGTATCCCACTAAGACTAAGACTGTACCCCACTAAGACTAAGACTGTACCCCACTAAGACTGTATCCCACTAAGACTGTATCCCACTAAGACTAAGACTGTACCCCACTACGACTAAGACTGTACCCCACTAAGACTGTACCCCACTAAGACTGTACCCCACTAAGACTGTACCCACAGACTCATAAGACTGTACCCCACTAAGACTGTACCCCACTAAGACTGTATCCCACTAAGACTGTACCCCACTAAGACTGTACCCCACTAAGACTGTACCCCACTAAGCCTGTATCCCACTAAGCCTGTATCCCACTAAGCCTGTATCCCACTAAGCCTGAAAAAAACAATCTATGCAGCTAAACTTGCTATAACTAGGTAATTATAGGCAAACATTACAGTTATAGAGAGTTAATGAACTAAATACCCGAACAATGCAAACGAAATTTTAAACACGGTCCCAGACAACACGGTATTAGGAATGAAAGCACGGTCACGGAAAACACGGTATTAGGAATGAAAGCACGGTCACGGAAAACACGGTATTAGGAATGAAAGCACGGTCACGGAAAACACGGTATTAGGAATGAAAGCACGGTCACGGAAAACACGGTATTAGGAATGAAAGCACGGTCACGGTAAACACGGTATTAGGAATGAAAGCACGGTCACGGAAAACACGGTATTAGGAATGAAAGCACGGTCACGGAAAACACGGTATTAGGAATGAAAGCACGGTCACGGAAAACACGGTATTAGGAATGAAAGCACGGTCACGGAAAACACGGTATTAGGAATGAAAGCACGGTCACGGTAAACACGGTATTAGGAATGAAAGCACGGTCACGGAAAACACGGTATTAAGAATGAAAGAACGGTCACGGGAAACACGGTATGAAGACTGAATTCTCACCTGCTTCAATGCCCGGTCTGCACAGGTCCGTGAGAAGCTTCTCTGTGGCGCACAGGTCACTGACTGACAGACCAGTATCTCTGAGGGGACCCGGGTACCTTAACAGACCCACGGATGACTCTCAGTAACTTCTTGATCAGTAGACTGTTAACTGGCTCGACTGTCTCCCTAGTACTGACTGAGACAAAGAGGTCAACTACGATACATTGACTTGTGTTAGTGTAAGGTGTTGCGGAGCAGAGAGAAAATTAAATCCTGTGTTTGTGTTCGATCATCTAGGTGTTGTGTTGTCGATTATGTGTTAGTGGTAACTGGGGACTAAACAAGACTGTACTGTCATTGTAGGAGTATCCATTAGCAACGCTAAACTATGCGTTGGTAATTGATAGTTCACAAAACTTCATTTACTGGTTATGACCCCTCAGGGAAGGTTCCTTGATGTTGGTGAGGGGGTCTTGATTTAGGGAATTGGATCTGTGCTCCAGTTCCCTGAATTAAGCCTGAATGCCTTCCACATCCCCCCCCCCCAGGCGCTGTATAATCCTACGGGGTTAGCGCTTCCCTCTTGATTATAATAATAATTACTGCTTATGATAATAATAATAATAATAATAATAATAATAATAATAATAATACTTGACAATCTCCCTTACAATCAGAGTTAATAACACTACTTACTTATTAAAACAAACATATGTTGTTTAACAAAAAAACACAGGTTGGTTTAACTAGCAGATATTTAATGCTTAATAAAACCGGAAGATATACTTCCTAACGTATATACAGTATAACATAATTTCACTGGGGAAATAAAATTATGCAAATGTAATTTGTGGGAAGTCAGATAACTACGTCTCTTTGAGTTATATTTATTTAATTCCATAAGTAATTCTGCAAGTTTATTCGATAATAGGAAAAATATATATAGCAAGCATTATATATATATATATATATATATATATATATATATATATATATATATATATATATATATATATATATATATATATTTATATATATGTTACATATATGCATGTGTGTGTGTACTCACCTAGTTGAGGTTGCGGGGGTCGAGTCCAAGCTCCTGGCCCCTCCTCTTCACTGGTCGCTACTAGGTCACTTTCCCTGAGCCGTGAGCTTTATCATACCTCTGCTTAAAGCTATGTATGGATCCTGCCTCCACTACATCGCTTCCCAAACTATTCCACTTACTGACTACTCTGTGGCTGAAGAAATACTTCCTAACATCCCTGTGATTCATCTGTGTCTTCAACTTCCAACTGTGTCCCCTTGTTACTGTGTCCAATCTCTGGAACATCCTGTCCTTGTCCACCTTGTCAATTCCTCTCAGTATTTTGTATGTCATTATCATGTCCCCCCTATCTCTCCTGTCCTCCAGTGTCGTCAGGTTGATTTCCCTTAACCTCTCCTCGTAGGACATGCTTCTTAGCTCTGGGACTAGTCTTGTTGCAAAAATTTGCACTTTCTCTAGTTTCTTCACGTGCTTGGCTAGGTGTGGGTTCCAAACTGGTGCCGCATACTCCAATATGGGCCTAACGTACACGGTGTACAGGGTCCTGAACGATTCCTTATTAAGATGTCGGAATGCTGTTCTGAGGTTTGCTAGGCGCCCATATGCTGCAGCAGTTATTTGGTTGATGTGCGCTTCAGGAGATGTGCCTGGTGTTATACTCACCCTAAGATCTTTTTCCTTGAGTAAGGTTTGTAGTCTCTGGCCCCCTAGACTGTATCCTGTCTGCGGTCTTCTTTGCCCTTCCCCAATCTTCATGACTTTGCACTTGGTGGGGTTGAACTCCAGGAGCCAATTGCTGGGCCAGGTCTGCAGCCTGTCCAGATCCCTTTGTAGTTCTGCCTGATCTTCGATCAAATGAATTCTTCTCATCAACTTCACGTCATCTGCAAACAGGGACAGTTCGGAGTCTATTCCTTCCGTCATGTCGTTCACAAATACCAGAAACAGCACTGGTCCTAGGACTGACCCCTGTGGGACCCTGCTGGTCACAGGTGCCACTCTGACACCTCGCCACGTACCATGACTCGCTGCTGTCCTCACCTATTTGTGGTTGCAGGGGTCGATTCATAGCTCCTGGCCCCGCCTCTTCGCTGATTGCTACTAGGTCCTCTCTCTCCCTGCCCCATGAGCTTTATCATACCTCGCCTTACAACTATGTATGGTTCCCGCCTCCACTACGTCACTTTCTAGGCTATTCCACGGCCTGACAACTCTATGACTGAAGAAATACTTCCTAAAATCCCTTTGATTCATCTGAGTCTTCAACTTCCAATTGTGACCCCTTGTTTCTGTGTCCCTTCTCTGTGTGTACTCACCTATTTGTACTCACCTATTTGTGGTTGCAGGGGTCGAGTCCTAGCTCCTGGCCCCGCCTCTTCACCGGTTGCTACTAGGCCCTCTCTCTCCCCGCTCCATGAGCTTTATCAAACCTCGTCTTAAAACTGTGTATGGTTCCTGCCTCCACTACGTCATTTTCTAGGCTATTCCACTGCCTTACAACTCTATGACTGAAGAAATACTTCCTACTATCTCTCTGACTCATTTGTGTCTTCAACTTCCAATTGTGGCCTCTTGTTTCTGTGTGTTTGTGTGTGTGTGTGTGTGTGTAGAGTCCAAGAAAGCCCGAGGAAGGTATATACTGTGCCAGGACATACCTTGGTGTCAAGTTCAACTATTGCTGCCAGGTAGAGATCTATTTATACAGGGGACACGAGGGTAAACTTTATTACACGAACCTCTAACCAGAGGTCACAGAACTTTTTGGTTATTATCCCAAAACATCTATACAGTGAAATTATCTACTATTATAGGAGCATAATTTCTAATATGAATATAAAATATAAATATATATTATTAAATAATTTTTGGTGTAATTTTATTTATATGTTTACTGAGTCTGTATTAACCTCAAGATTTTCATTTTTACTCTGAAAAATTTAACCCGGTTTCCCGACCACTACTGTGTGTGTGTGTGTGTGTGTGTGTGTGTGTGTGTGTGTGTGTGTGTGTGTGTGTGTGTGTGTGTGTGTGTGTGTGTGTGTGTGTAAAATCAACTATTCGTGTTCATCTATATGTAATTACCTGTCGAATTAAACCTCCAGTTTTGGGGAGGAAACTTTAGGCAACGTTTCGACCCGTTTAAGACCCTCATCAAGCAAAGACTCGATGAGGGGTCTTAAACTGAACAATTATATATCATCCGGCTCTTACTGTGACGTTAGTTAATGGGGTTTAAACATTCATGATGTTTACAGTGGTAGGGAAGCTTGTAAATAATGCCAGTACTTATGAAATGGTTATGTCAAAGTTATCTTAGAAAGTTATAATAATAATAATAATAATAATAATAATAATAATAATAATAATAATAATAATAATAATAATAATAATAATAATAATATATCTTCATTTACTACAAGTACATGTACAAGGTATACAGACCATAGCTGACATCAATGACATACTATTATTATATTGAGAGCTCCTTGTTATACATGGCATGTCGGGCAAATTATGTCAGTTTTATACCAGGATGCGACCCACATCATTCGACTAACACTCAGGTACCCATGTTACTGATGGGGAACATAGACAACCGGTGTAAAGAAACACGCCCAATGTTTCTACCCTCGCCGGGAATCGACCCCGGGCCCTCGCCGTGTGAAGCGAGAGCTTTAGCCACCAGGCCACGGGGCAGTCAGCTACACACACACACACACACACACACACACACACACACACACACACACACACACACACACACACACACACACACACACACACACACACACACACACACACACACACACACACACCTCCTCAGACTTCGACTCACTCTACTACATAAAGTGACCTGCATATCACTCTTACTAGACTGAAACTGCCACAAAAGAACTTAAATTATACCGTTAAAAAAGACGAAAGCGAGAATGTTTACTCATGCCTATAACGTAGACTTTAATCTCGGGAACATCTACAGTGCGTTATAACCTTGTAGTGTGCGGCATCCTAGTGCCATTAGGGTGAATAACACGACAGTGATGTGACCAGCAGAGAGGGTTGAGGCGCCTGCCACCATTTTGTACTTTCTCAGGATTTTCGGGTGGTCGAGGACGCCAGAGGTGCTCTTTTGCGATTCGAAGTCAACATCTGCCTTCCAAGGCGTCTTCTCCATCTCGTTATTGTGTTCGGGTTCCTCCCTATGGTGAGTGCTGCCAGTGGGTGTATGATCCTTCCTTACGTGAGTGCAATGGTGTCCGTGTCTCTTGTGCGCCTGGTTATCCACACCCTTTTGCCTGCGGTCCACGTGGCTATCTTCGTTTCCATGGCCCATGTGAGAGTGGCCACCATGTTCGCCATGGTTACTCTCAACTTGCACATGAGCATCTGGGATAATGCCCCGAGACCTACAACAGCTATTATTGTATGGTCCAATGCATGCAGAGTAGGCCATGACATGGGCCACGTATGTCTGCTCATGTAGACGGTGGAACAAGTGGCCCATTGGTCCTGCAGAACAGACATAAACAAATCAGTTAGCCTTTAAAAAGCCCACTTATACACTTTTCAGAATCTCTACACAACCTATCTACACATCCAAGAGGGACGTTAGGCAGCGTTTCAGTCCCGTCTTGGACCATTATTAAGACACTATGGGGTGGAAATATCGAAAATGTTATCTGCAAATTGTTGGTTATTTGTGAATTGTTCCAGCCACGGTATTGTGAGTTAGCTGTGAATGTGTTCCAGCCAAGGTATTGTGAGTTAGTTGTGAATGTGTTACAGCTACGGTATTATGAGTTAGTTGTGAATGTGTTCCAGGCACGGTATTGTGAGTTAGTTGTGAATGTGTTCCAGCCACGTTATTGCGAGTTAGTTGTGAATGTGTTCCAGCCACGGTATTGTGAGTTAGTTGTGAATGTGTTCCAGCTACGGTATTATGAGTTAGTTGTGAATGTGTTCCAGGCACGGTATTGTGAGTTAGTTGTGAATGTGTTCCAGCCACGTTATTGCGAGTTAGTTGTGAATGTGTTCCAGCCACGGTATTGTGAGTTAGTTGTGAATGTGTTCCAGCCACGGTATTGTGAGTTAGTTGTGAATGTGTTTCAGTCTTAGCGTTCCAGTCTTACTGTTCCAGTCATAGTGTTCCAATCATAGTGTCCCAGTCATAGTGTTCCAGTCATAGTGTTCCGGTCATAGTGTTAAAGTCTTAGTGTTCCAGTTTCAGTGTTCCAGCTTTAGTGTTCCAGCTTTAGTGTTCCAATCTCCTTTTCGTTATCGTGGTCAGTGGAACACAGACCTCATAGACCTTCATGGAAGGTAGAGCCGAGCACTGGCTGTATCGTACACGACACAGAGCGGCGCCAGGAGCTGTGAATCGACCCTCTGCAATCACAAACAGGCGAGTACAAGAAAGGAGCATTCACGGTACACCGTGCTAGCGGTACACCACAAGTCACTTTTCCGTGGCTGGAACAATGAAAAACCCGTAAACTGGAGATGAAACCGGACGACGTTTCGCTTCATTAGTGACGATGGGGTGAAACGTCGCTTGGTCATAAGAAAGGAGGAACACTACAGCAGGCCTACTGGCCCATACTAGGCAGTCTTTTCAAACTCAAACCCACTAATAAGCTTCGATAACCCTATTAATTCCTGTCAGTTTTATACTTCTTGTTATTTTCGTTAGTTTGTTTGGGCTTGAGAAGGACCTGCCTAGTATGGGCCAGTATTCCTGCTGCCGTATTCCTCCATTCTTATGACTATACCTGCAGCATATACTGCTACGTCTTCTCCTCCGTGTGTCTCCTCTCCCTTCATCAAGGGCACGGCAGCCAGGGTCACGTAGTCCTTGTGACCCGTGTCCACCCCGGTCAGGTTGGGTCGCGACACCTGTACAGAAATCAAGAAACAGAATTTAATGTACGCCACTAAATGCTACGCACGAAATACTATAATATATACGTCCCTCCTTCAGTCTAAGTCATTAAATCGTAATGACACGATTGCAAACAACCCACGGTACGGGTGGGGATTGAACTCGCGGCAAGTAAGCCGTAAAACTCTAGGCTAGCGCGTAAACTGTATCCGTATTTCGCCTCAGCGTGAGGCAAAATACGGATAAAATTTATTCTAAAAGTTGATTTCACTGAGAGAACTTAAGCATCAATGAAACAAAGCTCTAAACAGCAGAGCATAGAGCTCTGCTCAACGTAACTACAAGCAGGTGATAACAACGGTGTAATTTGACCCCAAGAGGTGATTAGAGATATGCAGGTGTGATAGTATTACCACTCATCAACATGTCTTACATACTATAGTTTTATAACCTGTAACAACGTAATCTTAATGACACTGACTTGTCACAACAGTATAAGTGGTGGTAACTGTCCTCTCTCACCTTCTGACCATCCCAGGTGTAGTTGTATCCATGGCCGGTGGTGAACATGAGAGTGGTGTAAGGAAGTCCATCTGTCACATATACGTTTGTTGTTATTCCTGTGGGTTATTGTTACTGTTAGTGGGAATTCTCACCCTTTTATCTCTCTCTCTCTCTCTCTCTCTCTCTCTCTCTCTCTCTCTCTCTCTCTCTCTCTCTCTCTCTCTCTCTCTCTCTCTCTCTCTCTCTCTCTCTCTCTCTTTCTCATATATAATATTGGCACAGAGTTTACATTAATATCCAATCACTGAATGCTTTCGTATGCCAGATTGATCACAGTAAGTGCTTCGTACATCCATGAATCCCGTGTGAGCCTTTATTCCTAGTTTTAGTGACAAATATGTTAGAAAAATGCGCTAGAAATATGCTAGAAAGTCGCTGTGAGCAAGAATATATATTTAAAGTCGTCACTTTACCAAGTAAAGCTTTAAGTAGAGCTTGACCTGATAAAGCTCTATTTGGGAAAGTAATGACTAGCTAACGAGGACATTAGTGCTCCTGGTAAGGAAGTAGGTACTTACCAAAGATGTCATTGCCTCTGGGAGGGTAGCCAGCCATGGTCATGGAATGGGAATGGTCAGCAGTGACCACCACAAGCGTGTCCTCCAGGTCAACCTCTTGCAGCGCCGCCTCCACCGCCTCCTCCATCTGCAACAGGTCCTCCAAGGCCCTCCGGGGCTTGTTGTTGTGCAAAGCTTTGTCTATAAGGGCGCCCTCCACCTGCCACGGACAGTACATGTGCATGGGAGTTCGTGGAAAAGATAGCAGAGGCCTAGCAAATGCATACAAAAACTATCTACTAAGTAAAATCATCTGCCTCTTCCTAGACTAAGAATTATTGTATGAGTCAAGGTTAGAAAAGAATGGTTAAATACGTCTCCAATAATCTCAACCTTTAAAAATAAGGTGTTTCACCAGCATTATAACACCTTTATACAGGTAGATCTCTTTGTGACTTCATAAAGTCCACTGTGTGGGCAAAACGTAGTCAATAAGAGATCGAATTCTACTACATTATGTTCATTTTTTTCATCGTGTCAGTATTTTATACTATTTATCTCCCTGCAACACCTCCATTGAAAGGATAATCACTTGCAATATTCTCACATTACTTTCCTGGTGTCATAAAATCCTTAATTTCTTCAGCTGTGCCTCTTGGATTGCGTGGCTGAGGCTCTCAAACGCGTTGACCAACAGTACAATCATTCTCGTTAATCATCCATCACCTTAACTAGTGTTCAGAGCATCCTCTACTAGTTGTGAAGAAAAGATACGTGCTACATTGCGCTCTGTGTAAAGTAAAACGTCGTCACAATAAATGCTTGCTCTGCAACCTGTGTTTTCTCTTCGCTAGTGCCGGCAGAAATCCATTCAGATCGTTGGTTGCCCCAATAAACGCTATGAGAGCAAGGTTTTAAACCATCTTCACAGAATTACAATGCATTTCTACCCCGTTGAGTATCTCATGCGTGGAAGGAGTGCGCATGAGTGTGTAATCTAGCAGCCAGTGTTAGGATACTGAAGCAGTGTAAGGAATATTAGAATCCTACCTCTATCAACAGGATGAAGGAGTGTCTTATCTAACAGTGTAGGATACTGACGTGTTAAAATACTGAAGCTGTATAAGAATCCTACCTTTACCCGCAGGGTGAAGGAGTATCTTAGGTAACAGTGTAGGATACTGACCATGAGGAAGAATCCTTGAGAGTTCTTCTTCAGGATATTAATCGCGGTCAGGGTCATCTCCTTCAGGCTGGGCGTCCCGTCCAGGCCATGATCACGGTCCACCTCCTGGCGAGTGTGGCGCTCTGCAAACAGTCCTGTGGAGAAGACGATGTTTCTTTGAGTTATTAAAAAAAATAGCCTAGGGAAGCCTATCAGGTTGGACGAGTGGGGGAGTTGGAACGTGATATAAAGGATTTAGAAACTTAACAAGTTGATGAATAAGACACCTGTGCAGCATTTGGGAATCTTTATTGAGGACACTGTTTCGCCAACCAGTGGCTTCTTCAGTCCAATACAAAGATGGAGGATGAGGAGTTTGGGGTAATTAGTACTTTTCTCAAGAGTGACGGACTTAACACATCGACTCGAGGCTGAGGGATTGATTGCCTCAAACTCCACCGTTTTTCTCTGTATTGGACTGAAGAAGTCACTGGCTGGTGAAACGTTTCTTCAGTAAAGATTCTAAATTGTTGCACAAGTTTCTCATTCTTCACAGTGGGAATGGTTGGTTTAGAAGAGGACCTGCCTAGCATGGGCCAATAGGCCTGCTGCAGTGTTCCTCCATTCTGATGATCTAAAGTATAACAATTTCTTAATGACTGCTTGCCAGCACTAGTATGCCAGCAGTCGCTTCATCACTCATCAGGACATGATCATCAGACAAGCGTCAGGACGTATCGTGGCGAAGAAAACACCACTACCACCCACCTGTTCTTCTTTTACCTTGCCTGGTGAAGAATTAGACACATGTGCTACATCTGGGTATCTTTAGTATAGACATTTCACCATTTAAGTGGCTTCACCAACACCTGCTTCCACTGGGGAATCCCACCTACCAGTCACAATGTCTTCGTCTCCTACACGTCCCTCATCTGACGCTGGTATATAAGCGTCAGTCTTCCTGCCTGTGCTTCAGACTCTTCAAGACCACGGTGCCCTTCACCAACTCCAAGGCTGAGGGACTGATTATCTCATCTTTTGTATACAGTTTTACATTCTTCCAATTATATCCTAGAATTTGTATTGATAAAGCCACCGGATGGCAAAACGTCTACAATAATGATATCTAGACGTTGCACGTGTCTGTTTCTTCATACTGCCTTTTATTGGTGCCCCTCTGTGACTGATGTCACAGCCACAGATGTCCCAACCACAGCCACAGGCGTCCCAGCTCACTCACCTAAAAGATAGTCTGTGTTGTTTACATCGAGGTCTCGCAGCTGCCGTGTAGAGGTGACATAGAAATGACTGGCACCTAGCTCCTGCTTGTCATTCTTCCACTCCTTCACCAGGTTCCTGCCGTCGGTCCTGTCACACACTATCTCCTCACCCCCATGAGGAGCTCCCATCTCCTGCCGTCCACCCCCCATGATCACCTGTCCATGAAGAAATAAGGACGAAGGAAATCTTGAATAAAACCCACATGAAAAATAGTATGGAGATACCTGGAAAATGTGGACAGATATTTTACGTATAGTTAATGGCTAAAAAAGCCACTAGTGTCGAAACGTCTAATAAATACCCTGAAGTGTACATAATAAAAATAATATTAATAATAAATTGATATACATAAAAGACTAGTAAGGGACATCACTTAAAGGTAAAAAAACGATGGTGAAATATTTCTTCTTTTATATCAAAAGCGAATCCAAAGAGTTGTCTCTTAAAGAACATCAGCATTACCTTCCTCACCTAACACCTTTGTAAACATTGAGGACCTAACATCAGCGTTATCTTCCTCACCTAACACAACCTTTGTAAACATTGAGGACCTAACATCAGCGTTATCTTCCTCACCTAACACAACCTTTGTAAACATTGAGGACCTAACATCAGCGTTATCTTCCTCACCTAACACAACCTTTGTAAACATTGAGGACCTAACATCAGCGTTATCTTCCCCACCTAACACAACCTTTGTAAACATTGAGGACCTAACATCAGCGTTATCTTCCTCACCTAAAACAACCTTTGTAAACATTGAGGACCTAACATCAGCGTTATCTTCCTCACCTAACACAACCTTTGTAAACATTGAGGACCTAACATCAGCGTTATCTTCCCCACCTAACACAACCTTTGTAAACATTGAGGACCTAACATCAGCGTTATCTTCCTCACCTAACACAACCTTTGTAAACATTGAGGACCTAACATCAGCGTTATCTTCCTCACCTAACACAACCTTTGTAAACATTGAGGACCTAACATCAGCGTTATCTTCCTCACCTATACACAACCTTTGTAAACATTGAGGACCTAACATCAGCGTTATCTTCCTCACTAACACAACCTTTGTAAACATTGAGGACCTAACATCAGCGTTATCTTCCTCACCTAACACAACCTTTGTAAAAATTGAGGACCTAACATCAGCGTTATCTTCCTCACCTAACACAACCTTTTTAAACATTGAGGACCTAACATCAGCGTTATCTTCCTCACCTAACACAACCTTTGTAAACATTGAGGACCTAACATCAGCGTTATCTTCCTCACCTAACACAACCTTTGTAAACATTGAGGACCTAACATCAGCATTACCTTCCCCACCTAACACAACCTTTGTAAACATTGAGGACCTAACATCAGCGTTACCTTCGTCACATAACACAACCTTTGTAAACATTGAGGACCTAACATCAGCGTTACCTTCCTCACCTAACACAACCTTTGTAAACACTGAGGACCTAACATTGGCGTTACCTTCCTCACCTAACACAACCTTTGTAAATATTGAGGACCTAACATCAGCGTTACCTTCCTCACCTAACACAACCTTTGTAAACATTGAGGACCTAACATCAGCATTACCTTCCTCACATAACACAACCTTTGTAAACATTGAGGACCTAACATCAGCATTACCTTCCCCACCTAAAACAACCTTTGTAAACATTGAGGACCTAACATCAGCATTACCTTCCTCACCTAACACAACCTTTGTAAACATTGAGGACCTAACATCAGCGTTACCTTTCTCACCTAACACAACCTTTGTAAACATTGAGGACCTAACATCAGCGTTACCTTCCTCACCTAACACAACCTTTGCAAACATTGAGGACCTAACATCAGCATTACCTTCCTCACATAACACAACCTTTGTAAACATTGAGGACCTAACATCAGCGTTACCTTCCTCACCTAACACAACCTTTGTAAACACTGAGGACCTAACATCAGCGTTACCTTCCTCACCTAACACAACCTTCGTAAACATTGAGGACCTAACATCAGCGTTACCTTCCTCACCTAACACAACCTTCGTAAACATTGAGGACCTAACATCAGCGTTACCTTCCTCACCTAACACAACCTTTGTAAACATTGAGGACCTAACATCAGCGTTACCTTCCTCACCTAACACAACCTTTGTAAACATTGAAGACCTAACATCAGCATTACCTTCCTCACATAACACAACCTTTGTAAACATTGAGGACCTAACATCAGCGTTACCTTCCTCACATAACACAACCTTTGTAAACATTGAGGACCTAACATCAGCATTACCTTCCTCACATAACACAACCTTTGTAAACATTGAGGACCTAACATCAGCGTTACCTTCCTCACATAACACAACCTTTGTAAACATTGAGGACCTAACATCAGCGTTACCTTCCTCACCTAACACAACCTTTGTAAACATTGAGGACCTAACATCAGCATTACCTTCCTCACCTAACACAACCTTTGTAAACATTGAGGACCTAACATCAGCATTACCTTCCTCACCTAACACAACCTTCGTAAACATTGAGGACCTAACATCAGTGTTACCTTCCTCACCTAACACAACCTTTGTAAACATTGAGGACCTAACATCAGCGTTACCTTCCTCACCTAACACAACCTTTGTAAACATTGAGGACCTAACATCAGCATTACCTTCCTCACATAACACAACCTTTGTAAACATTGAGGACCTAACATCAGCGTTACCTTCCTCACATAACACAACCTTTGTAAACATTGAGTCCCTAACATCAGCATTACCTTCCTCACCTAACACAACCTTTGTAAACATTGAGGACCTAACATCAGCATTACCTTCCTCACCTAACACAACCTTCGTAAACATTGAGGACCTAACATCAGCATTACCTTCCTCACCTAACACAACCTTCGTAAACATTGAGGACCTAACATCAGCATTACCTTCCTCACCTAACACAACCTCTGTAAACATTGAGGACGTAACATCAGCGTTACCTTCCTCACCTAACACAACCTTTGTAAACATTGAGGATCTGGAACATTGTGTGAGCTCAGGTGAACTGCCCGATTAACCATTTTTAGTGCTGCTACAACTACTACAACTACTACTACTGCTGCTACAACTGCGACTACTACTACTACTACTACCGCTACTATTACTACTAGTACTACAACAACTACTACTATTGATACTACTACTCCTGCTACTACTACTACTACTACTACAACAACTACTTCTACAATAACAACAACTATTACTACTATTACACACACACACACACACACACACACACACACACACACACACACACACACTAGGAAAAGAGACAAGGAGGGAAACCAGCAGAGGTCTGTCAGAGCAGGACAGAACAGCAAGGGCAAGCACACACACAACTACTCTCAGAACCATACAACCTATCACACCATCCAACACACCCTACAATCCATACCCACAGCCTCCACCCAACACCAAGCTTTTAGAACCCCACAGTATGCCACCAGGTCTCCACCTCACAGGCCCCCCAAACCACAGTGTTGGAAAGGAAACTGAAGGTATGGTACACAAACGCTGAGGGAATAACAAATAAGTGGGAGGAGTGGCAAAAAGAGCAAAGAAGCATCACCGGGACATAAAAGCTCTCACAGAAACCAACTTACAGGTATGAAAACAATCCATCTTTCCCGGATCCAAACCGAGGAAAGACAGAGGGAACAGGGGGGGGGGGAGGAGTGGCGTTGCTGACAAAAATCGCTGGAATTTTGAGGGGCGGGGAGAGAGAAGAACGGAGAAGAAAGTGTTTACTAGTGGGAAACACTTCACTCGGGGGCCCCAAAGGGTGGTAATGCAGGAGTATAACCCCCACGAACGAAAGGGGGCCAAAGGAAAGAGACGACGAGACAATAGAGCGGGGTTGACACACTAGCTGAGGGCCAGAAGAGCTCATGCAGCAGGGCAAACTCCGATCAGGGGTGATTTTTAACCCACAGGAAAAAGATTGGGAAACTTGGACCCACAGGGGGGGCCAAGATACTTGGGGGGGCTAAGATGATGGAGGGGGTACTGAGAACTTATGACCAACACGTAAGGGACACTACAAGAAGAGGGAGAGGATGAACCACAAGGCGGGATTTAGATTCACCTTCATATGCAGATATCGAGGACATCACATTGAAAGACCCCTTGGGGGGCCATGACCATGGGTTGTAAGCTTCGAAACACGTAGACTACGTGGGGGGAGAACGGAAGGCCGGGAAATAAAGCCAAACTACAAAAAGGGACTACACGGGAATGGGAACTACCTGAACGGGTTCAGTGGGACAGAAACTGGCAGGGAAACCATTAAATGAGATGAGGAATATTCAATAAAATGCAAGGGGCGAGGGAGGTTTTACCCAAGGGAAACGGGATAAAAAAAAAGCCGGAGAGCCCTTTTACCAAAGGTGCAGGGAGCAAAAACCAAGTGTGCGGGGAATGGAAAAATATAGAAGGAAAAGGCCCCGAGAATAAGGAGAAATCGTAGACCCAAAAATAAATATCACAATAAGAAGGGGCCCAAAGACAATAAAAAATGACATAGCACGAAACCCCAAATCTGCCCCGAAACTTTGTACAGCCACATCGGGGGAAAAACAACAGTCAAGGACCGGGAAAATCAGGCAAAGGAAAGGGAAGGGGAGACAACGGGAAATGACCGGAAGTTGTGAGAACTCAACAAAGATTCAAAGAAGTGTTCCAGAGGAGACGAAGGGACTCCAAAAGAGGGAGAGGTGGGGCACACCACCAAGTGCTGGACACAGTGCACCAACCGAGGAAGAAGGAAGAGGTTTCTGAGTAGCTAATACCTAAAGGAAATGGGCCAGAAACATCTCCCCAGGGGTATTGAGAGAGGGAGCAAGGCCTATGTGTACCCAAAAAACAATTCAATACTCTACGAAACAGGGAGTTTCCCCTGAGGCATGGAAGACAGCAAAAGTATCCCAACTTTAAAAAAGGGAAAAGACATAAGCATTTAAAAAACAGACCATGTCACTGACATGTATAGTATGCAAAAACATGGAAAGATTATCAGAGAAGAGGGTGGAACACCAGAAAGGAATGACTCATCAAAAGCACCAGCATGGTTTTAGGGACGGGAAAAACCTGTGTCACAAACCTACTGGGGTTTTTATGACATGGTGACAGCAGAAACCAAAAAGAGAGGGGTGGGGGGATTGCATTTTTTTGGGGCTGCAAGAAGGCTTTGACACAGTTCCACACAAGAGTTGGGGGAAAAACGGGGGACCAAGAGGATAACAGGGAAGGCACACAAGGACAGGGAAAACTTTCAAAGACGCAGCGAGTCATGGGACGTGGGGAGGTGTCAGAGTGGGGACCTGTGACCCCCCGGGTCCCCCAGGGGGCAGCCTAGGACCCTGCTGTTTCTGGTATTTGTGAAAAGACAGACGGAAGGAATAGACTCTAGGTGTCCCTGTTTGCGATGACGTGAAACGATGAGAAGAAAACCCCGACGAAAACCGGGAAACAAAAAGGGGTCTGGGCAGGCGCAGAACTGGTCCAGCAATTGGCTCCCTGGATTCAATCCCACCAATGCAAAGTCAAGAAGATTGGGAAAAGGGCAAAGAAGGCCCCAAACGGAGTACGTCCAGGGGGTCAGAGACTAAAACCCACTCAAGGGAAAAAGACTTGGGGAGATAACACCGGCACATCTCCTAAGCGCACATCAACCAAATAACTGCTGAGCTAGGGCGCCTACAAACCTCAGAACCATTTCCCACTCTTAATAAGGAATCTTTAGGACCCTGTAAACCGTTCGTTAGGGGCCCCTATTGGGGTATGCGGGACCCTTTGGAACCCACACCTACCAACACGTAAAGAAACTAGAGAAGTGCAAAAGGGTTTCAACAAGACAGTCCCAAGGGTAAAAGGGATTCCCACGGGGAAGGGTTTAAAGGGGAAACAACCCGACGACACTGGGGACGGAGAGATAGGGGGGGCAATAACGACTAAAAATACGGAGGAAAATTTACAAGGTGGGCAAAAACAGATTTTCCGAGATTGGGGCACAGTAAAAAAGGGGAACATTGGAAGCTAAAACCAGATGAAAAACCCGGGGTGTTAGGAAGTATTTTTTTCAGCCACAGAGTATCAGTAGTGGAAATATTTGGGGAAACATGTATGGAGGGAGGATCCATACATAGCTTTAAGCAAGGGGACATAAACTCACGGTCAGGAGAGTGACCTAGTAGCGATCATGAAAAGGGGGGGCCAGGAGCTCGGACCGACCCCCGCAACCTCAACTGGGTGAGTCAACTAGGTGAGTACCACCTTCATATTCTTGCCTGGTTTATCCTCCCCCAGCTGCGGGCGATATCCTTGCAGTGTTTGCATTATCCGGGTTTCCCGGTGTCCACAGCCATTTCCCTAAAGGGCGGTTTACAACAGTGCTGCAGTGTGGCGGGGTCCCCTGTGAGTCGTCACTAACCTGTACACACAACACCAACAATAACTGACCTTTCTTGCCCTGCCCTTTTTTTATTTTAAAAAATTTTTCGAGTCAAAATTTTGTTTGGGCCTTTCCCATCAATATTTTGACTCGAAAGGTATCTAATAAAAATAACGAAAAATAATAATATTAATAAAATAAAACCCCCCAGTTTTTCAGAGCATTTGGGGAAAATTTGGGTTAAATTTTTGTCCCAGGATGCGCCCCCATACCAGTCGACTAACACCCGGGACCTATTTTTTCTGCTAGGTGAACATGGACAGCAGGTGTCTTAAAAAAAACACGTTCAAAGTTTCCACACGTACCGGGATCTAACCAGGGCCCAGACGTGAGCTGAGTGCGCTACAAATTGTACAACGGTACACCGTAGTGTGACTCTAAACAACCCTACTCAAGGAGTGTTTCACGCAAACCCTTTTCACAGTCCTCCAAACCCTTTCCCGAAACGGCAACACTCCTGCAAATGGCTTTGAAAGCAGGGAAATGACCTCCGAGAGCATCAGTAACCCTTTGTCCAGAAGGCAACAACCAAACTCCTTGCACAGGAAAAATTTCCTCCTCCAAAACACTGTCGTCCGAAAAACTTACTAGTTGCAACCAAACCTTCGTCTTGAAGCCAACGTATGCCTTTAAATTGCAATGCTATCTTAGTCACACCTATTTTCTTTCACAATTTTTTTTTGCGGATGACGTTGCCAACCAGCGGTAGTGTCAATGTTTTTCCTGCAGAGGATGGCTACTGTAGGGAAACCAGTCCACCAGTCTTTAGACCCATGTAGGAACCATCGCTTTAGACGGACGGATTACCTCATTCCTCTCCTCTTCTTCCACCGTTCTTCGCTTTATTGGACTGAAGAAGCCAGTGGCTGGCGAAACGTTTCCTCAGTAAAGATTTCCAACTGTTGCACAAGGTTCTTATTCTTCAACACGTCCAGTTGCTATCCTCCTCACACTCGAGTAAGTCCATTTGCATATCTACAAAGGGGGTCACACACATAAACAGTAAGACACTCCCTGACATCCATAATTACTGGTTCTGGGAGACTATGTACAACCACCCACCTGTATCCTTCTCGACTTTCTGCCATCCACCTGTGACCTTGCCAGCATCCCACCCACCTGTGTCCTTGTCAGCATCCTACCATCCACCTGTGTCCTTGCCAGCATCCTACCACCCACCTGTGTCCTTGCCAGTATCCTTCCACCCACCTGTGTCCTTGCCAGCATCCTACCACCCATCTGTGTCCTTGCCAGCATCCCACCACCCACCTGTGTCCTTGCCAGCATCCTGCCACCCACCTGTGTTCTTGACAGCATCTTACCACCCACCTGTGTCCTTGCCAGCATCCTCCCACCCACCTGTGTCCTTGCCAGCATCCCACCACCCACCTGTGTCCTTGCCAACATCCTACCACCCACCTGTGTCCTTGCCAGCATCCTACCACCCACCTGTGTCCTTGCCAGCATCCTGTGCCCAGTTAAGGATGGTGTCCAGTCTGTTCTCCGGGATGAGAGAAGCATCACAGTCCTTCTCATTTACTCTACCGTTAACTCCCAGAGTTCCATAGTTAGCTTTGACACCTGTCAGGTAGGCAGTGGCAGTACCGGCACTGTCTGGCACTTGCTTGTCCAGGTTATATGTCTGTAAGTAGAGAGGTGCACATGGAAGTACATAGCAGTGTACACATAAACAGATGGATATATATATATATATATATATATAATATAATATATATATATATATATATATATATATATATATATATAATATATATATATATTTGCTTCAAAATCTCGCGAAGTAAATAATAATAATAATAATAATAATAATAATAATAATAAATCATAGGAATAATACTTATAATACGATCTTTGGAAAATCAACTACCTCTTACATTAAGGAAATAACTGAAGATTCTGGTCCTTGATATTACTGGTGGAAATGCTATGATTGATGTTTGCCTTCCAGGGTATTGTTCTCCTGCTGAATGGCCTCGTTAAATGGCCTATGAAGTCATTGTTTAGAGAGAGAGATATAGACTATACCTTCAGAAGGGCCATGTTAGGGAATCTCTCCCAGACAAGGTAACCTTCCTCTCCAGACACTCCCTTCTTCTGCCCCTTCAGGATGCGTCCTGCCGTCGACACCGTCACTCCCATACCTGTAGGAGAGTGACCATCATGACCCTGACTCAGGTGAGGTGGTCACCTGGGTGAGGTGGCCACCTAGATGAGGTAACCACGTAGGTGAGGTAACCACCTAGGCGAGGTAACCACGTAGGTGAGGTAACCACGTAGGTGAGGTAACCACCTAGGTGAGGTAACCACCTAGGTGAGGTAACCACCTGTCCTATCACTCAGAACTTCTCGTATTGAAAAAAATATATAAATCAGAATTAGTCTGTTCTTCTCTATGGATCGAAATTCATTCTTGTTTTTTTTTTTAAATTGAATTATAACTTGTGATGGTAATTTGTTAATCCATAAATATTTTACCATAACTAGTGAAGGCTAGAGTGCTCGTTCAGCAACTGGAAGTTCCCGCATCTGCAAGTTGGGAGTGTTAGACGACTGTCAGGTCACCTGAGTGTCAGATCACCTGACTGTCAGACCACCTGACTGCCAGACCACCCGACTGTCAAATCACCTGACAGCCTCACATAAGACACCACAGATGAACTGTGTGAAAAAAAGACACTTATGCTCAGTTCAGAAAATATAGCAAACGTTTCGCCCCAAGTGGCTTCCTCAGCCCTTCATTAGAACTGAAGAAACGTGGCGAAACGATTCCTCATCACCAGACCTTATTTTCCCGCAGAATAACTCACCATCACCGAGAAATAAGATAATATTCTTGGCCATGCCGGTATTCCTGGGTCTTTCCAGGGCCTCCTGGATCTCCCGTCTCATCAGCTGGTACCAGTAAGAGTTTCCTGGAGGAGTAAGACCGTGTGTTACGTCGTGGATGTGACGAAGTGGATGGAATGTCATTTCTCCCACATACAATCATAATCCAACCCTGAATACTAACTGTCCGATTGGTTCTCTGTGTAATCCATAGACTTGCTGTTTATAAACCTTAATTAATGTCTTTATATTTAAGCAATTAAATAGTTATTATGACTGTAGTCTTAAGTGAGGCTTAAGTTTACCCGAAATGCTCTGCGTAACAATGGGCTTTCAGAAGGTACGAGCAAATGTCACCCATCTCTGTATATTGTATCGTGCTGAAATATATTATTATTATTATTATCATTATTATTATTATTATAATCCCCTGCAAACGATGGTCACAGCAAGGGTATATACACAGAGTGGTGTATACTTCTCAGTGTATATACACTGAGAAGTGTGTATCTCTCAGTGTCTACAAGCTGACAGTCTACTTCGATCCCTATTTTCAGAGATTAAAGTGTCTATCCCTGGCCTTGTACAGGTGACATGCAGCCGTAATGACCTCCACTGCTGTCGACAGACCACAGTGGGATATCATTACTTCTAATAACTTCTAAGAACTCCTTATTACTAATAAGCTAACACGACCGGTGTGTTCTACTTACCCAAGTTATATGCAGGAGTTCACCTGCCGCTAACATAAACGTATAACACCTGTCTGCCGTGGAAAAAAAACATGTGTGTCTGAGATAACCAGAATGACTCATTCACTTCAGATAATTCACTCATGCTGAATGAATTAACTAGAATAATATACGTGAATAAAAATTCTAAGAAGCGAGCAGATATACTCTACACTGAAATACAATACACAGAGATATAACACAGGTTTTTTTTAGGTAATATTGCTGGATCGAACTGTGTAAAAAAATACTTAGCGTTGTTCACTTGTCTATGATAACGCAAGTGGTGATACCGTTCAAGATAAGATAACGAGACTGAAGCATTCAGTGAGATGCTGTGGTGACTCCCTTGTTTATGATAGCCTAATAGACCTGTTATCTATGATAGAAATAGAAGCTTATGACAGCAGACCCAGGGGCTGAACACCCTCTATCATGGCTATGACTGATCACCTTCTATCAAGGTTATAACTGAACGCCCTCTATCAAGGCTATGACTGAACGCCCTCTATCAAGGCTATGACTGAACACCCTCTATCAAGGCTATGGCTGATCACCTTCTATCAAGGTTATGACTGAACGCCCTCTATCAAGGCTATGACTGAACGCCCTCTATCAAGGCTATGGCTGATCACCTTCTATCAAGGTTATAACTGAACGCCCTCTATCAAGGCTATGACTGAACGCCCTCTATCAAGGCTATGACTGATCACCTTCTATCAAGGTTATAACTGAACGCCCTCTATCAAGGCTATGACTGAACACCCTCTATCAAGGCTATGGCTGATCACCTTCTATCAAGGTTATGACTGAACGCCCTCTATCAAGGCTATGACTGAACGCCCTCTATCAAGGCTATGACTGAACGCCCTCTATCAAGGCTATGACTGAACACCCTCTACCAAGGCTATGGCTGATCACCTTCTATCAAGGCTAAGGAATCGAACGCCTTCTATTAAGGCCCAGGGACTGAACACCATCTATCAGGGACTGATCACCTTCAAATTTCCCCTTTATTTCTGCTATCTCTAGTGTACAAGTCGTCTCTGTGTTAAATTGCAAAAGCTAGTGTGCAGGTGAGACATGTGGTCAATTCAAATATTTATTGATACATGTGGCACATGTGTCGTATTGATCAAGCTAGCCGTAATACGATGATATGACCCATCTGTCTGTAGGCCTCACGGGTGACCAACTTTTTCTTGTGGTTCAAGCTAAAGAAAACTACTTGTTGCATTAAATCAGTAGTCAAACTCACTTGTTTTAGGATAGGCGGAGTGATCCACCTTTCTAAGATAGCCAGAGTGACCCACCTGTTTCCTCAGGATGAGGTGAAGGGAAGATAACAGCTGGGGAGAGAGACAGCTTCATCATCACCAGCATCACCACACTCCAGCACCACACACACCTCACCATCCTTGCTACGTCTTCTTTGACGTCGCCTTGACAGAACCTTCCCTCCCGTCTTTCCCGACAAGGCAGCAGCCGGGTATTTCTCTTCTAGTCACCCGTGACTAAAAAAAGAGCGATATTGCTCCTTCTATTGTATTATCTTTCCCTTGGAGCAGTGCGAGATGACAGAATCCCTTTCTTCTGTCAGAGGATTTATCTTCTTTGCTTAAACGCGATCACCTGTTGCTGAGAAAAGTATAAGGTTGATTGCTGCTCACTGAGAACACTATGAGACGGTTATAAACACTGGTGTAGCGCATCCAGCTCACACATTGAGTGTCCGCGGTTAGATCCCCGGTACAGGTGGAAACATTGGGTGTGTTTCCTTACACCTGCTGTCCTCGTTCACTTAGCAGTAAGTAGGTACCAGGTGTTAGTCGACTGGTGTGGGTCACATCCTGGGGACAAGATTGACCTAAGTTGCGGGAAATGCTCTGCTTTCTATATAGTATGTCACTGATGTCAGCTTTGGTCTGTATAAGTTGTATCAAGTACTTGTCGAAATGAAGGTTATTATTATTATTATTGCTATAACCCGTGATATCGTACTGGCACAACTGTAAACTTACTCTCTGCAGCTGGGTTAGAAGCCATGGCATGCCAATCCTAAAACTAGCAGACCAGTGCGCTATCCACTGCACCATGCCGGGAGGTTAGTCTAGGCCATCACTGTGACCACTAATGCAGGTTTTTATAGACGGTTCTCATACCGGAGTGACTGTGGTGTGCTCTAGCTCAGGGCCCATCGAAGTGACGGTCTTCGTCATAACACTAACGGTACACCATGCCGACAAGTTGACGAGGTTACATTAAACAACTATGCACCTTGGCTGAGGGACTGATTACGTTGTCTTATACTGTCTCCAGTTAATAAGCCCTATATTGAATTGATAAAGCCACTGCTTGGCTATTTACGAACACAGGTGTATTCTTATGGCCTGCATACCTGGTTGTAGCACGATAACCAATCAGAAACGAGGAACAAGCAAAAGACAGCAGTTGGTAAATGCTTATATATTTCCTTCACCAAGCAGCATACAAGTATATATATACAATATATATACCATATGTACAAAGCAAGTTTCGGAAGCGAGACACAGTGAGAATTGTGGGCGACCAGACTTGTGGTAAGTCTGCCATTGTTGCTGCGCGAGTATTCAACATTGTTTTACAACTTTGATAGGCCTCTTTGTGACTGGCTGGACTGAACCAAGGTGCTAGCATAACAAGGGGAGCCCCACTTGGTTTACTTTCAGCACCTGGTTTACTGTTTGGGAGAGTACGCCTATATGGGTGTGTGACAAACGTCGAATAAAATATAACAAATATAACGTACTCTTACCATGCTACACTGGCGAAGTGTCTTCGGGTTATAGATACCCCAAGTGTCTCACTCACCAGTAGATACTCTACATGTGAGAACTCGCTCACACTTGAAAACGTTATCGATGACTTTCTAAGACTCGAGCCTTAACCACACTTGCACCGGCAGTGTTCGTATTAAAGATGACTCCACAACAAACCCATAAATCGTCAACTTAGGAAAAAAATCGACCCCGCTTCGTCTTGAGAAGTTTCAGTAACTTCATAAGAGCCAGGTAAGCAGCAGATTTTATCGAGTTTCCCCTCACAGGTAAGACACTGCCTTGGAGGACTGTCTTAATCATCAACCCGTCGATATTTTGTACCATTTTTCGACATAACTGCCTTGAAGTGATGTTGATTCAGGGAAGCAGAGCAATTAAATCTAATTGCATCCCATTTCCCAAACGCTAGGCCCATGCTAACCTTCCTATGGTGTACATATATTCCTATTTGGGGTGACCTCTTTAAAAGTCATTTTTCCCAGGGGGCCTTACGCACTGGCCGGGAAATTTTTTGGCGACTCATTTGCCATGGGTTCTAACCCCCCCCCGAAACCCTGGTTTTTTACGGTCGGTCAAAACGATTTCGTGATCACGGGTTTAGACCCTTGAAAAAGGGAAAGGTTTTTTTTAAATTTTTTTTTTAGTTTAATATGTTTTTTTTGCCCCCCCTTACCCCATCCTTGGGGGTAGTAAAAAATTTTAACGGGGTACATAAGGGTCCGGGGGACTGGGCCCCCAAATTTTTGATAGTTTAGCAAGTTACAGGGGTTAATGAATTCAAAATTTTCCCAAAGGGTAATGAACCCACAATTTACAAGGAAATGAACTCCAGGAGGTCTATCACAACCCTGACAATTTTAAAAAGGTATTTACAGATTACAGAGGTACAAAATTTGGGTTTTCCAGGGACCGGCTCCAAATTTTTTGAGGGCTAAACCTATACGGGGAATGAACTCAAAAATTACAAAGGAAATAAAACCACAATTAAAAAGGGTAGAATACTGAAAAAAGGTTTTTACTTTACGTTTATACAGGGGCTAAAATTTCCTGAACAAATTTTAGAGAAAAGACCCAAAAAACATTTCCCAAACACCCTCAAAACTGTATGATTTATTGGTGCAAATTTTGATTGTTTGAGTCTCCCCTCCACACACACACACACCCCACCCCAACATCCAAACAAATTCATACCACACACACAAAAACACACACACAAAACCACACACACAAACCATACACAACACCACACACACTCATACACACACACACACACACCTAACACACACACACTCATACCACCCACACACCCACACACACCCACACCACCCCACCACCCCAAAACACACACCACACACTCATAAATAAAACCCCCCCAAAAAAAAACACACACACAAAAACACACACACACACAAACCAACACACACACACACACACACCCACACATACACATGGGGTAATGCTTTTATTTTACGCTAGCAAAGTCGGGTTTTTTCCCCCCAGAATGGTCTGTAAAAAAAACCCCCTGTGAAAAAATATTTAAAGCCATTTCTTAAAAATTTTAACCCGAGGGGAGTTTTTTCTAAATTCAAAATTTTAAAACGCACTCCAGAAACAAATGACGCAGGGGGACAATAATCCCTTTCGGCCCAAAGTTTACATTTCTTTTGGGTCTACACGGGTTTTGGGGGGAAATTTAACCTCCCAAAAAATCCCTTGAAAAACCCACCGGGACCCGGCGGTTGCCATCCAAGAGCGCTTATTTTGTTGGATGCCCATAGAAAAAGTGGCTCCCCTGCATGATAAAATATGAAAGATGGACTAAATTTTGGGTCAATCTCCCGATCCTTAATCCATAAAATTCACGGAATTTTTTTTTCGAATTAATTGTTCCAAACAACTACCTGAAAACCCAAAGTTTTGTAATCTACTCCCCTTTTTAAAAAGAAAAAGCTTCCCCAAAAATTTTTTCAGTTCTATCATGAAACTAAAACCCAAAAGAAGAGGGGAAAACCACAGAAAGGCACTCTGCCCTCCACTGTCCACAATCCTACCATACCGTGTCTGGCTTCTGAACAACATCCAAAATTTTTAATGTTTAAATTTTTTTGAGAGCTTTTAGGGAAAAGACGAAAAAATCCTTAAAATTAAAATTTTCAATCTTTGAAAACATAAAACATTTCAGTGAAAGGGATTGGAAAACAGTTCTGTCTGAAGGTAGGGGCCCCAAATTTAATTGATTGCGTGTTTCCAAATTTTCCTTTAAGAGAGCCATCACTTGAAACACAACAGCAGCACTACCAGCTGAAACCATTGATTGGTGAACAAAAACCATAAAACCGAAAAATTTTTGCGAGAGTGTGTCTGTGTGACTAATTATAAAAAACACAAAAGGCCTAAATTTTTGGGGCCTTCCCAAGCGAATTTTTTGGTTTGGATTTAAGAATATTTTGGGGGGAAATGGGGGAATGGGTATTTTGGGAAAAGGGAAATTTTTTTCCATGGCGGAGAAGTGCCGCTGTTCCCCTTAAACTTGACATAGATCTGTTCTGTTTCATGGGGAGGTGGGTTCCCCAGTTTTTTCCGATCCATCTGGGGGGTGTTCACCAGTGCTGGGGAAATTTTTGGGGGGTTTTCTGGCGGGTTTGAATGATTTGCCTGAGCAAATTAACCCCCAATTAATTTTTTTTTCCTTTAAACCCGATCCCGATGTTTGGAAAAACAAGTTCTTTTGCATTTTTAAAAATTTTGGCATAGGGAAGGGCACCTGGGATGATCCTCATTCCCTTCGTTCTGCATTTTTTTCCAGCCCCCCCAAGTTTCCCAAACCCAACCAAGAGCAAGTAGTGGCGCAGCATAATAAAAACCAATGATCAAATAAAGCAAGAAATTTTTTTTCCCCACAATTTTTAACATTAGCACCTAACCGGGGGTGAACCCTGCCAGAACTCAAAAGTGTCTTAGTCGTTCTTTGTTTTGGGCGACAAAGTCTTGTTAAAAACAGCCAAAAGTGGGGAAACCCAAAGCCTAGATAACCCAAACCCCTTCCCATTTCTAGAAGAGACCCAAAATGAAATTTGGATCTGACGAACTGTGTTTCTTCGAGGGACCCCTATTGAGTGTCTTTTTTTTATCAGAAAGAGATTAAAACCCCCGGGTCCTGAAAAACGGGGCTAGTACATGTTTAAGAATTTTTTTGGGTTTTGGGAAAAATCCGGTGGTGTAATTTCATTATATCATCAGCAAAACTAATCACATAATTAGGGGGCTAAACTACATACATTAAGTAAGGAAATTAATTAAATATTGAACAGTGTGGGACGAGCACCCCCTTTCCCTGGGGGGTTCCAAATTAAAAATCTTTATTTACCCCTTCTATGCCCCCGGGAAAACAACCCCAAACATTTTCTTTTGGGACGGGTACCCTTTTAATCCAGCGGAAAAGGGCCACCCTCCAACTCCTTTCCCGGGCAAGTTCACAAATGATTACATTCTTTGGGCAACATCGAAAGCGGTTTTAAAGGTCAAAAAAAGGAGGAAAGACTTTTCAGTGGCAGGGAAAAGTGGCTTTTGAAAAGATGACGCCCTTTCCCCCATGCATGAAACCAGGGAAACCCGGGGAGACAAAAATTGTTTGATTTCTGTAATAACGAAAAAGAATCATTCTCTAAAATTTTTACACAACACTATAAGAGATATTGGGCGAAATGAAATTTTTTTTGATTGGCTTAAAATTTTTGGAAAAGTTTGGGGCTGTTGGTCCAAGATTGAGGACTCCCCATTACATAGCTCAAGTTATAAAATTTCAAGTAAGGGTTTTTCCCCTGGTACTCGACACAGCAATCTAGTAGTTTTAAATAATACCATTTCCCCACCAGGGGACGTGGAGTTGCCATTTTTTTAGTGGGCATCAAGTTCATAAAATTTGTGAAAAAAATGTTGCAATCATCTGCCTTACTGGCAAAAGCAAACAATTCCCCCCTTGCATATAAATTTTTCATTTTAAATTTTTCCGGTGTTTTACTGGGGAAATTGTCAAAACTTTATTTTCAGCCCAAGCACTGACTAACTCATCGCCCTATCCAAAAGGGAAAGAGGTGGCCGACTCCCATTCTTTTACCCTTAATTCTATTTTAAAAGTCCCCCATGCCCCTAAAGTGGGGTTTAGCTTTAAAACCGTTTACAAATTTTTTCCCCTCGTTGGGCCCCAGCTCTTTCATACCCTCTGGCAGCAGCAAAAGGGATTTTGGGAAAAGCCTCAGCAAACCCCGGGGTACGATGTTTCTTTAGGGTAGGCCCAGTCCCGCGACAGTTACGTTTCAGTGAAAAAGTTTAGAATCATTTAATAAGTATGGTTTTTTTAAGGAGGGATATTAAATTTGGAATTTTTTTGGGTTTGAGAAACCCAAAAGGTTTCAAATGGCCCTCTCTAAGTAATTTTTGAAAACTGCTCAAAAAGACAATTGGGAAAGGGCCCTACAAAAGGGAAAACTTTTAGGAATTTACCATCATCCCCATGTCAACAAAGTCATCAAAAATGATTGTGGGGAAAATTAAAAATTTCCGTTTGAATATCCCCCCAGGGAAAGGGTATTAAATTTCCAATATCAGAGAGGTTAGCCTAGGGAAATGAACAAAACCCCATAAACGTTACAATAGAAAACCACAGCTGGCAGAAGTAATGCTAAGCCCAGGCACAGATCAAGGACCCTCCTTTAAAATTTTGGGGGGTTCAAGGGCACCTAATTTGGGCATTATCATGACGTTTAAGAGTGACAACAGTTTTTGCCATTACGATTACCAAACTGTGATTTCCAAAGCTTTTGGTCTCGCATTTTAATCGCCCTTAATAAGAGTAAGGGTCAGAAAAGAGCCCCAATTTGGGAGCTTCCAATAATTAAATTTTCAGCAGGACATAAAAAGTTAAAAATGTTGAAGCAGATTCCCAATTTAAAAACCTAACACCGGAAATTTTATTTTCCCCCGTTTTCTTTTGTGCAAGAAGTTGATGGGGAAGCGATTTTTTTAAAAAAATAAACACAAGAGTTGTAGAAATTTGGGGTTATATGCAACAAATATGGGAAATTTTGGGTTTGGGGTTTTTAGGGACTTGCACTCTTTAGACACACAACACAATGGGGCGGTGGTTACTTTATATGAAGGTCAGGGAAATCTTTTTTTTAAGTTATTTCCCAAAACCCCCTTTAAAATTTCCAAAATTTATACGAGTTTTGATCCATTTTTAGTATTTCCGGGAAACATCTTTATTTTTCAGCATAATGAAAAAAATTGTTTTATATTTAAAAAGCAACCTTATAAAAGTCAAAAAGTGCAAACCCCCTTTTCCCTTAGTTTTTTTAATGCACCTCCAGTTTTAAGGGCCCCGTGGGGTCTTCTAAACCCAGACCTGACGCTGTTTTGTGGGAAAAAATGATAGGTGACACCACCAAATCACATTCCCCCTCCACTAACATTACAAACCCAAAACAACAACCCGTCATCACCACGCCACTACCAAAATTGTGTTCATTACATTTGTCAACAGAATTGTATTTTTTAACTTTTTTTTCTAAATTTGGGTTTAAACCCCACCACACTCTCAAACCCCACCACTTTATTACCTCACACTATTACTAACATTTTTAGACACCACCGCTCTCATCACACTCTTCACCCCCCACTTTTAAAATTAAAGCCATTTACTATTAAATTAAAATTATAGACAAACCACCGCTCCCATCAACACCTTTACCACCAAATTAAATTTTTCTCATCACATTAAATAACATTAAAGACACCATTGCCCCCATCACACCCCTTTACCACCACTTATAATTTTCGGTCATCACTATTACTAACATTAAGACAAACCCTTGCCCCCCAACACCCTTCACCACCACTTTTTATTAAGGTTATCACTATTAAATAACATTAAAAAGACCCCATTGCCCTCACACCTCTTCACCACCACTTAAATTTCGTCATCACTTTAAATAACATTATAGACACCATTTGGGCCCCCATCACACCCTTTTTCCCCCACCAATTTTATTAAAAGATCATCCTTTTTACTAACATCATTGACACCTAGCCCCTTTATTATGAACTCACTATAATTTTTTCAACAATATTTTTAAATTTGTCATTTCTGTTTAATTAAAAAACACCCCCCACCACCTTTTTCAAACCCTTAAAAACTTCTTTCAAAATTGTGAAATCTTGTTATTGTACACTCTACACATCCTTTCCCCTTTTTTTTCAAGTTTTTTTGTTTCAGGGGAAAATTTTTTGTTTTTTTCCCGTACTTTTAATCGCGACAAACAGGTTGTATACCCCCAGGAGCAAGACTTGGAACATCGGGGACGTGAACCCGAGAAATCCCCAGAATATTTTTTCCCGAGGCGGGACCTTTACATACGCGGGCCCCAAATCTTTTTGTACATTTTTTCTTATAAGCTACAAATTGGCCCTATACAGACAACTCCCGCGGAGATACAACAAATGTCAGGGCTAAGGTCACATTACTAACAGATGCACCACTGGATTACACAAGTGTCGAGTGTCATAAAGGTCCAACCATTGCCACGAGCTTCCAAAGAAGTTACGACCCATTTCTGTGAAATATACGAACTGCGCCATGTTTACTCGGGATGGGTGACGCTGCCAATAAACTCGCCCCTCGAGGCATGATCTAAATCTGTACCAAGTGTGTGAAGGCGAGTTGAGTCTGGCACCTGGGTGTAGTGTTCACCCTGTCCACTGCATTGCAACTAACCCGGTGTTCGTGCAGAGACCTCAGACTCAGGACCAGGACGCAGCGCAGGAAACAACGTTGCAGTGCATGCCTTTGACTAAACTGGCATTAAAGAGGGAATTTTTTTAACAATAAAGTTCAATTCTGAACACTAATGGCTTTCTGCATGCACACCTAAATGTCACCCACTTCTGTACAACCATTGTATCATACTAAAATAAAGAACATTCTGTCTTTATTCTTTTCTGAAACAGAAATTAAAAAAGACATATTTAGAAATGAACTAACAAACGAATATGAACAAAAATCTGAACAAAATAGAGAGGAGCAGCAGTGGGTTCATTGCTCATCATATACAAAGAAGGTGCCAAATAAATTTAACAGGCCTAGAACTGTTATCCTATCTTAGCTCATTTCAAAGCCCCAGCACAGTCTGAGATCCCACCCACACCAGTCCACTAACACCCAGGTACCTACTTACCTGTATACTTTTCAAGACTGATGGACTGACTACATCAATTCAAGGCTGAGGGACTGATTACCCCAAACTCCCCCTTTTCTTCATCATTCTCCTTTGTATAGACTGATGAAGCCACTGTGTGGCGAAACGTTTCCTCAATTAAGATACCCAAGTGTTGCACAAGTGTCTAATTTCTCAACTTGTCAGTTCTCTGAACCATTCGTCTACATGACTTCTACTCCGATGTTGTGCTGTTTGTGTTGGCAATGCATGACTATGCGAGTCGTGACGGGTCACTCGTGCCAACGTTTAGTAAGGTTAGGAAGCTACCTCACCACATTAATGTGTTTTAGTTGAAAAAAAAAACATACCACGGGCGGGGTTAGAACCCGCGATCAGAGACATAAAACTCCAAACCACTGGGCCAGCTAGCCACAGTAAGAGTCATCCAACTAGGTATATTTATACACCATAGGAAGGTTAGCATAGGCCACCACTGTGACCACATATGCAAGTTTTTACAGACGAATCGCGGGTTTTACAGGCTGATCGCGGGTTCAAACCCCGCCCGTGGTATGGTTTGTTTGCAATCGTGTCTTTTCGATTTCGTGAGTCATATTCTAGTTGAAAATTTTCACTCACAGGCTAGTTTATTGCCTTTGACAATACTAAACAAAAACCCTAGTTCATTCACTTAGTATATCAGATGGAAACGAAAGAAATCATCATGACTGGTAAAAACAGAGCTCACACAATGAACAGCTCACTGTTTAAGGTACTTATGAGAGTTAATTCACAGCGTAGAGCTCTCAGGGTAGCAACCTTATAGTTAAATATACCAGGGAAGTAAGCTCTCACTCTAAAGCTCTTAGGATAGTGGACTCACGGTGAAGGACAGCCAGGGTAAGCAAGCTGTTAGTCCGATAGCTTTGACTAAGTTATCACACATACACACACACGCACACACACACACACACACACACACACACACACACACACGCACACACACACACACACACACACACACACACACACACGCACACACACACACACACACACACACACGCACACACACACACACACACACACACACACACACACACACACACACACACACGCACACACACACACACACACACACACACACACACACACACACACACACACACACACGCACACACACACACACACGCACACACACACACACACACACACACACACACACAACACACACACACACACACACACACACACGCACACACAGTGTAGTGGGTCACAAGCGCCAGGCTCCGAGGATCTTAGTGCTTTTAGGGCGTGTTTTTAGCAGCTAGAAGCATCCAGTGTTAGTGACAACGTCAGTGAACAACCCTACAAGTGATAACCAATGTGTTAGAAAAAATAAATAAAGTTAAGGCGAGAGAAAGCCTGAAATTATACAACAAAATTTCAAAGTGCCAGTTCGTTGAGGCCTAGTGGGCACCTGTTGCCACATTGTTACATATATACAAAGTACAAAGCGAGTGACTAAAGAGAAAAGACCAAATAGAATTAAGAGAGGTGGTAACGACAAAATGTGATGTATCACACAGCGTGAACAAGCTAGCCAGAAAGGGGATATATATATGTATACATAAATATATATAAGCAGAGGTGGTGGCAGCAGTAGGCCTGAGGGAGTAGGCCGCCATAACAGGTTGGGTGTCATCACAAATAAGTAGGGTACTTACCAAAAGTGGAGTGAAAATTATAAAAGTAGCAGTATACAAGTGATAAGTGTGGTAAATGAGGACTCAAAAGGGCAAGAGATAAGTATAGCCGAAGAAGTCAGAGGCGGAAGGGCGAGGTGTACGAGTCATCATACAACGAGCATCGTACAGCGAGCATCGTACATCAGGCATCTGGATGGACGTCCCCTCTGAGTAACGTACAAATCTCACTTGTCTGTGGTGGCGGGAAGTCTGAGGGTAGAACCGGCCCGGCGGACACTGGTAGCTGGCTATCTTTAACCCTGCTCCAGGGCGATTATCATACCACAAAACACCTAGCAGTAGTAGGAAGATAAAATTTGTAGGAGCAAGGACTAATGGACTACAGCCCTGACAACAGTTTTCGAGAGATAATGTTTTAGGACACAAAGACAGTACAATCTGAGAAGCAAGTATTGGGTACACACGTAGTAAAAAGGTAGTGAAAAGTGACTTGTTAACACACGCTAGATTATAATATAGAACTACTCCAGTGTATTTTCCCCCCCCCCCCAAAAACCCCCCACCCCCACAAAAAAAAAAAAAACCCCCCCCCAAAAAAAAACAAAAAAAAAAAGGGGGGACCCCCCCCAAAAATTTTAAAACAAAAAACCCCCCAAAAAAAAAAAAAAAAAAAAAAAAAAAGGGGGGGGCCTTAAATTGGTTTGGGGGGTTTTTTTAAAAAATTTTTTTAAAAAAAAGGGGGAAAAAAAAAAGGGCCCCTTTTAAAAAAAAAAAATTGGGGGAAAAAACCTTTTTTTAAAAAAAAAAAGGGAAGTTTTGGGCCGGGGTGGGGGGAAAATTTAAAAAAAAAAAAGGGGTTTAAAAAAAAAAAGGGGAAAAGGGGGCCCCCAAAGGGGAAAAAAAGGGGGGGGAAGGGGGTTTAAAAAGGGGGTTTTTTAAAAATTTTAAAAAAAAAGGGGGGGCCCCCCCCCAAAAAAGGGTTTTAAAAAAATTTTTTTAAAAAAAAGGGAAGGGGTTAAAAATTTCCAAAAAAAAATTTTAAAAAAAATTCCTAAAAGGGGGGAAAAAAAAGGGAAAAAAAAAGGGGGAAAAAGGGGGGGGTTTTAAAAAAAAATTTAAACAACCCCTTTAATTTTGGGGCCCCCCCAAAAAATTTTTATTTTGGGGGGAAAAAAAGGGGGGAAAACCCCCAAAAAGGGAAAAACCAAACCCCCCCCCCCCTTTTTTTTTGGGGGGTTTTTTTTTGGGGGGGGGCCCCCCAAAATTTTTGGGGGGTTTTTTTAAAAAAAAAAAATTTTTTTTTTAAAAAAAAAAAAAAAGGGAAAAAAGGGGGGGGGGAAAAAAAAACCCCAAAAAAAAAAAAAAAAAAAAAAGGGGAAAAAAAAAAAAAAAAAAAAGCCCAAAAAAAAAAAAAAAAAAAAAAAAGGGGGGGAAAAAAAAAAAAACCGGGGGAAAAAAAAAAAAAAACCCCAAAAAAAAAAAAAAAAAACCAAAAAAAAAAACCCCCAAAAAAAAAAAAACAAAAAAAAAAAAAAAAAAAAAAAAAAAAAAAAAAACCCTTTAAAATTTTTTTTTAAAAAAAAAAAAAAAAAACCCCCCCCCCCCCCCCCAAAAAAAAAAAAAAAATTTTTTTTTAAAAAAAAGGGGGGGGGGGAAAAAATTTTTTTTTTTTTTTTGGGGGGGGGGGGGGGGAAAAAAAAAAAAACCCCCCCCCCCCCCCCAAAAAAAAAAAAAAAAAAAAAACCCCCCCCCCCCCCCCCCCCCCCCCCCCAAAAAAAACCCCCCCTTTTTTTTTTTTTGGGGGGAAAAAAAAAAAAAAAGGGGGGGGGGGGCCCCCCCCCCCCCCCCCCTTTTTTTTTTTTTGGGGGGGGGGGGCCCCCCCCCCCCCCCCCCCCCCCCCCCCCCCCAAAAACCCCCCCCCCCCCCCCCCCCCCCCCTCTCCCTTCTCTCCCCCCCCCTCCCCCCCCCCCCCCCCCCCTTTCTCCCTCTCTCTCCCCCTCTCTCCCTTTTTCCCCCCCCCCCCCTTTCCCCTTCCCCCCCTTTTCCTCCCCTTCCCCCCCCCCCCCCCCCCCCCCCCCAACCTCCCCTCTCTCCTTTTCCCTCCTCCCCCTTTTCCTCCCCTCTCTCTTCCCCCCCCCCCTTTTTCCCCCCCCCTCTCCCCCCCCCCCCCCCCTTTTCCCCCCCTTTTCTCCCCCTCTCTCCCCCCCTCCCCCTCCCCCCCCTCTCCCCCCTTTTTTTTTCCCCCCCTCCCCCCCCCCCCCCCCCCCCCCCCTTTTTTTTCCCCCCCCCCCCCCCCCCTCTCTCCCCCCCCCTTTCTCTCCCCCTCTCCCCCTTTCTCCCCCCCCCCCTTCCCCTTCTCTCCCTCTCTCTCTCTCTCCCTCTCCCCTCCCTCCCCCTTCTCTCCTCTCCCCTTCCCCCCTTCCCCTCCCCCCTCTTTTTTCCCCCCTTCTCCCCCCCTCCCCCCCCACTCCCCCCCTTTTTTTCCCCCCTCCCCCCCCCTTTCCCCCTTTTTTTTTTTTCCCCCCCCCCCCCCCCTCTTTTCCCCTTTTCCCCCCCTCCCTCTCCCTTTTCCCCCTCCCCTCTCCCCCCCCCCCCCCTCTCCCTCCCCCTTTTCCTTCCCTCTCCCCCCCTTTTTTCCCCCCCCCCCCCCCTTTTTTTTTCCCCCCCCCTTTTTTCCCCCTTTTTTCCCCCCCCTCCCCCTTCCCCCCCCCTCTCTCTCCCCCCCCCCCCTCCCCCCTCTCCCCCCCCTTTTCCCCCCCTTTCCCCCCCCCTTTCCCCTCCCCCCCCCCCCCCTCCCCTCCCTCCCCCCCCCCCCCCCCCCCCCCTTTTTTCCCCCCCACCCC